GCTCGTGCTCCAACGGCACCGAGGCATGCGACGTTGGGCAGGCTTGCTTCTGGTTTGCATCTGGCGCCACCATCGGCTGCAAGAAGCCCGACGGCGACGGGCGGCGCGACGGCAAGCCGTGCCGGTGCGAGCGGTGTGCCAACGCGACACTCAACAAGCCGGAGTGGCGCACGGCCAATCGCAAGGCCGTCCCGCTCTCGCCGCAGGACTGGACGCGCTACAACCCTTGGAGAGCGCCGGGCACGGCGCCCATCTTTGACGCGTGCGGCATGGCGGGCGGCGGGCCCGTGGCCGGCGTCCAGAGCGGCGAGTACAACGCGACGCAGTTCGCCAAGCAGGGCGACCTCGGCTCCAAGCTACCCGAGGCGCCGACCGGCGTCGTGTGGGCGGCCGGCGGGCTCGGGCAAACAGGCTGGTTCATCCGCGCCAACCACGGCGGCGGGTACGCGTTCCGGCTGTGCCCGAAGGGGGAAGCGCTCACGGAGGAGTGCTTCCGCCAGAGGCACCTCGCCTTTGAGGGGTCGCAGCTGCTGCGGTGGAGCGACGGCCACATCGAGGAGATCAACGGCACGTACGTCACTGAAGGCACGTACCCCGCCGGCTCGATGTGGGCGATGAACCCGTTGCCCATCAACGAGAGGGCCTTCCCCGCCAAGTGCCGTGCGGGCTTCGAGCCAAAGGTGCGCGCGCCGAGGGCGGTCGGTGAGTACGGCAGCAACCCCGGACCGTGCGCCGGCAATTGGCCGACCACCGTCAACATCCTCGACACCGTGCGCGTGCCCGCCGACACGCCGCCCGGAGAGTACGTGCTGGGCTGGCGGTGGGACTGCGAGCTGACGGCGCAGGTATGGTCGGCGTGCAGCGACATCACGATCGCGCCTGCCGACGTCGTCGTCGAGGCGTGAGCGCGGCAAGCGCGCAGAGCACGGGTTTGCGTACTACGTATTAAGGTTGCTCCCGGCCCAGTGTCCCAGTGGGGATTTTGGCCTACCAGTGACCGTCTAAGGGGCCCTAATTGGCCTCAAATGCCATCTCTTTTGTGCCTAGGTTGTAGAGCACCTTAAAAAACTAGTATGTCTTGCAGTGAAAAGTTTTTCGATGAGGTGGGGATCCGTGGGTGAGCCGATTCCCAGATTCTGCATTCTCCAGAACCAGATCCCCCCTCGAAAACCGAGCCTTTTAATTCATTGCGGCCGCGGGTTTGCTCGGATTACTTTTCACTGCAAGACAGACTAGTTTTTTGGTGTTACGGTGCCTACAAACGTCTGAACTACAGCGTGTCCCGCTCCATAGTTTCTCTTCTTATCCGTTACCATGTAGAGCAAGGTCGAGGGCGGGCCCTTTCGGGCTCGGGCCGCCCTCTCGCCCGCACCTCGGCGGGGCTTGCACGTGGCAGCGGCGGCTCAAGATCCCAGCGATCTCGAGTTCTTCACGCTATCCACTGCGCCGCGGCTTCGCCGCGCCCATCCAAGCCCAGGGCTTGGTCCTTGCTGATACCCGCATCTCGCTCTGCGCATCTCTGAGGCTACCCGCGCGCCGACTGCTACGCGCGCGGCGAGAGGCGCACCCCATCGGGGACAGGATTGAGGCCCCTGTACAAGCTCGGCAACGCTGCCGTCGTTGCCCTCCCGAGCCCTCAACACGATGCCGCACATTGCGCAACCCGTTCTGCGCACATGCCGCAGGGAGGAGTTTTCACTCTTCCGTCTGAGTTTCTCCTTCCTGCAGGGCGAGAGACATCAGCCTCTCTACTTCCAGGGGAACATCTATGCCACACGCTATCCCTGGTGGGACGGTCCACAACCCACACTCTCGCTGCAGTCGATCCAGCCCTCGCACTCCCCACTGGAGATCTAAATGGTTGGGTAGTAGGGCTAGAGGGTCGCTCTACACTTAGCCTCTGCAGCGAGCGAGCGCTCAACTTAGCCCCCGCAAGGAGCCGGGCTCGGACTTAGACGCTGTATGGTCGGGGGCCATGAACTTAGACGACACAAGGCCATCTCCGGGTAAAACTCGGGTATACCTGCAAAAGTCCAGGTTTACCCGAAATATACCTGGACGCGTCCCGACCAACGTATGCCGCGCACGACGCCATATCGCCTTGTCCCAGGGCCAGTGCGCTACTTGTGGCGCGCAACTCCTGCTCAAGTACGCGCACCGTACCATGTGCTGCCGCTATGCATGTCTCAAGGCGGCTGCGGCGAAGCGGCGGGCGCGGCATGCCGATGGCAGTGCGGACGATGCGGTTGCGATGTGTTCTGCTTCAAGATCGTGGCGGTGCTTGGCATGGATATGCACTTCTGCGATCCCAATCAGCTCATCGCAACGAAGCAGCGCAACAAGCTGGCTGCTGCCAACAAGGCCCTATGCTACCTCACGCGCGGATCGTTCAAAGAGGACCAGCATACACAGGCTTCCTTGACATGCGTTTGTTTGAGCTTGAGGCTAATTTGTGAGAACTGTTTGGCTTGAAGATTGCGCTCAAGAAGAGCAACGAGAATCGGAAGAGGAGGATGCTGAGGCGGCGATTGCTGAGCATGAGAAGGATCGATCCGGATTAGAAGGCGCCCGCCGCAGGCGAAGAAAATTTGGGGGCTAGCGCCGTATCGTTGATCACGGTGGGAGCCTCTTGGCCCCAGGCCGTGCCACGGCAGACTTTGACTTAGCCCGCATAAGAGGCTGCCGCCGATCTTAGACCGCGTAAGCACCCCAGTGTGCTTAAGCACACTTAGTCTTAGACCCGCTCAGCCTCGAGGCTCAGAACTTAGACTACTACCCAACCAGTGAGATCTAGCCGAGGCCCCCAGGCTGGGACAGGATTGGAGCCCCTGTGCTGCGTCTGTGGTGATATGTGGGGGACACTTTCTCCTCCCTATTCATGTGAGTCACTCGACTGCGTCGAGGGGGGGGACGTCTGAACCACAGCGTGTCCCGGTCCATAGTTTCTCTTCTTATCCGTTACCATGTAGAGCAAGGTCGAGGGCGGGCCCTTTCGGGCTCGGGCCGCCCTCTCGCCCGCACCTCTGCGGGGCTTGCACGACAAAAAATATCCGAGATCGCATGGAGCTGATCACAGGGTTTGCGGCGGTCACTGTCCTACCAGCGGGCACAGTGGGCCGCGGACACCCGTGAATGACCTTAACTCTGGTTCTTTGTCTGTCTGTAGGTAGGTAGGTAGAAAGGTGAAGAACAGCCAGGCTCGGACTGGACACCAACGCGGTATGGGTGGACGCTAGACAGATGATGACGGCACGCACGAGCGACACACAGACACAAACAGGCTCACAAGACACACAGCCAGCGGGCTGCCACACACCCTGAGTTGGCGTACACATAACTCAAGGCCATATCCTCCCTGTCGCCCCCCCCAGCACTCCACGGTGCCAAGAGAAACAAACAAGGGCACAACGACACAACAGACAACAGGAAGTGACATGCGAGGCTAGAGCAGGCTTGCTCTACCTCCAGCAATCTCGCCGGCCGGCGAGGCACGGACGAGACCGTGTGTGGGGTCTAAGTGAGGTGTCTATGGACGCTCTCCTCATGGGCTAGCTGCCTACGGCTGGCCCTAATCTCGCACTCACGGACAGTGACAATCAAATGGGTGAGTGTTTGCGAGCAGAGGTGCGTGGGCTAAATCTAGGCCGCACGTCGTGGCACTATGACGAAGTAGACGTGCGGCCGCAGCGCGCCCGCCGCAGGCTCGGCGGTGCGCGCGTGTTAGCGACAAAGTTGCGGGTGGAGCCATGCCCGACTTTTCGAAGGTGAGGCCTCTGCGACGAGTGCCAGCCGCGCTGCGGAGCCACACCCTTCGAGCCGCGTCCCGTCGGCACTGTCCCCGAGTGGTCCCGCCTTGGCGGCACACACTCTCGACCAGGACAGTCCGGCCTCCGGGAACGTGTCGCGCGCCGGCGACGATTGCGGCGTGGTCGTTTTGAAGCGAAGATGGCACGACCACCACCCTGCTTCGCAGACCGGGCAAGGAGGGGGCTGCTCCCGTTCCGCGAGGAACAGGAGGTTTCCCCCCCTCCCCCGGCCTGAGCAGCGGCGGATGGAAGGCAGCCCCTTGAGTCGAGGGCGGCGCTACCATTGCGCCGACTCAAAGACCAGCTAGCTGGTCCGTTCAGTACAGATGGTCTCGCCGCCCCGCTCCGCCCCGCCCGCCGCCGCGCCGCGCCGCCGCCTCGCGCAGCCGCCGCGCCGCGCCCCGCCCGATGATTAATAATTAAGATTACCCGGAATACGGTACGCAATTAAGGAATTAATGAGTGAATTAATCAATTAAGTGAGCGCCCTCGCGTCACCTATGACTCGACCAGTGTGAAGGTGAAGAGATGTCACCGAGCGTGCGTGCAGCTGGCCCGGGGGGGAGAGAGAGAGAGAGAGAGAGAGAGAGAGAGAGAGAGGGAGGGGGGGGGGGGAGAGAGAGAGAGAGAGAGAGAGAGAGAGAGAGAGAGAGAGAGAGAGAGAGAGAGAGAGAGAGGGAGAGGGAGAGAGAGAGAGAGACCCCCGAGAGAGAGAGAGAGAGAGAGAGAGAGAGAGAGAGAGAGAGAGAGAGCCCAGAGAGAGAGAGTGCAGAGAGAGAGAGAGCAGAGAGAGAGATATTGAAAATGGCGACAACAGTGCCAAGCAGCAGCAGCAGCACGCCCACGGCCCGAGCCAGAGCGAGGAGACGGAACGGCCGAGCCGACAACGGAGGCAGCGAGCAAAAAGGCAGCGCGGCGCGGCTCGCGCGCCGCGTGCGCCAAGCAGCCGAGGCTGCCGAGGAGGCCGAGGAGGCCGAGGAGGCCGAGGAGGCCGAGGAGGCCAAGGAGGCCCCCCCCTCCCCCCCGGCGACTCGAACCGGGAGCCAGTCGACGCACGAACGGAACGCTCGCACATCACCGGATATGTCAACTCGCAGCAGCGAGGCAGCAGCTCATATACAGTGTGTCTGTGACCGCGTGGAAGCCCCACACCCCCGCGGGAACCAACCCTCTCGCCATCGTGTGCCAACGACCATGTCGGGCTACACGACTGGCTCTCTTCTCCCGGACAACGGCTTTGGCAGGCGTCGCGGCCGAAAGCGAGGCAGGTGGCGCCGGTTGCGACCGCCGGCCGCGCTTTTGATCTTCGCGTCCGGGTCGGTGATCGTCTCATATTGGCTCCTCTCCGAACGCCGCGCCGCCGAGGCGGCCGCCTCGCGCAGTGACTTTGACTGCGTCATCGTGCCCGGCGGCGGCCTCGACGCGGCGCGTGAGCCCGCTCCGTGGGTGGCCGAGCGGCTCGAAGCGGCGCTAAGGCACGACCACGAGACGGCCTCCTACCTCGTCCTCTCGCGCGGTACAACACACAAGCCGGCGCCAACCGACAGCCGCGGCTACGCCGTCGACGAGGCTGCCGCCTCGGCGCTCCACCTTCAAGCAGTCTAGCAGCGATGCGGCGCTCGAGCCGAGCTTCTCTCGGAGCCTTCGCCGTAGGCCCGCTACCTCGTGCGGCGAGGCGTCGCTCCGGAGCGGGTGCTGCTAGAGAGCTGGTCCCTCGACACGATCGGCAACGCGGCGTTCGCGCGGCTGATGCACGCCGACTTGGCACAGGCGAGATCTAGCCCGAGAGATCGCCGAGAGGTGAGGTCCTATCTCCGGGCGGGGAGATGGGCGGAGATAGTGCCGAGGTATCGCCGAGGTCCGGCTGATGGGCCCCACCTGATGGGCCCCACCTCGCGCAGTGGCGGCGGATGCTCGTCGTGACCTCGGACTTCCACCTGCCGCGCACGCGAGCCATCTTCGAGTGGGTGCCTCTGCTCCAGCAGTGAACGGCGTCTCTTCACAGCTACGCGCTGTGGGCAGGCGAGCCATCTTTGAGTGGGTCTTCTCGCTGCCCGACCGGGCGGGGCGGCGGCGGTCGCCTCCCGCCGAGCTCGAGTTCGAGGGGGTGCGAGATCACCCGAGACCACACGAGATCACACCCGAGATGCCCGAGAGGCGGAGCACTGCAGTTCGAGGGGGTTCGTCGGCGGGCGGGCGGCGGGCGGCGCCTCTCTCAGAGTGGGCTGCCCGCGTGCACAGGTGCCGGGGCGGGGGCTGGGCGACGAGGACGGCGCGGCGCGCAGGCGGAAGGAGGAGCGCTCGCTCGAGGCGCTGCGGCGGGGCGCGGTGTCGAGCGTGCGCGACCTCGAGGCGCTGCACCGTTTCCTGTTTGTGGAGCACGGCGCATACCGCGCGATGAGCGAGGCGGAGGAGGCGGCGAGGGAGCGGGAGAGAGCAACGGGGGCGTTGGCGAGGACTTACTGACCAGCCTGTTTCGTGTTGGCGGTTACTGGCGCGTTCGCGTTCGGCACTGTCGCGATTTTTGCTTTTTAGTTTGGAAAAATTGTGCAGAGTTTACGCTACGTTTGAGCTCTTTTCTCTTGCACGTTGCAGATTACTAGGTGCGGGTCAAATTGCCTTGCAGATTACTACGGGGTGTGGTGTGTGGAGGGTGAGTTGACCAAGGGGTTGTGCGCCGGGCCCTCCTGCTCGGCTCCAGCCGGTAGACAAGTCTTGTCATCAACAGAGTAGATGGATCTGACCTCGGGGCCGATGTGACCAAGCGCTGGTAGCGTGGTTTTACCTCACACCCATGGTCTCACAGTGTGCCGGCAGTCGCCGAGCACTGTCGCTCACACAAGCCGCAGCACAAGTGACTGAGGGCCAGTGAGGGCGAGCCCATCGCTGTCACAGCTGTGGCAGCCGCACAGTGGGCTGTGTCAACTGTGCAGAGTGTGTGAGCAGCAGAGGAGCTGCTCTCCAGGCTTCTGTCGCAAAGAGCTGCATGCCACGGAAAGCGCTGTCGAGGTTCGCCGAGCGCGGCGCAGGTTGAGGGAAGCCGCCACCGACGAGCGCGTTGTTCTTTTCACTCCGGACAAAAAACGCGGCACAGCGGACGGTGCGGGGCGTGCCGCAAACTTAGCGGCGAGGCGCGGGACCGTCTGTGGCGAAGTGGGTCGCGTCCCTCGAATTACTACACATCACACAATCCACAGCAGATTACTACACATCATACACCTAACACACATCACACAATCCACCATCTCCATCGCCTGGTCTGCGAATGCTTATCAGCCACGAAAGGAGAGAGCGTGGCCGAGGGCCCGTAGACTCAATCACAAGATCCCAGAAGGGCACCTCCGCCTCTGGACAGGGTGGCCCGCCACAAGGACCCCAGGAATTGCGACTCACATGTTCCTTGCACGACTCGCCGCTTTCCACTCAAGGCTCTGCCGGCGGGTCTGTGGCCTGGCGCCTGCCAGACTGCGGGTCCAAATACCCCGGCGCTCGCGCGCGCCACCGCCCCCGGCGCGGGGTGGGATATCAGTTCGTGAGTTCTGTGTCCCCATCCCTGTGCTCCACCTTCTTCTCCCGTGTCAGTCCCTGAGAACCCCACTATATAGCGCCACCTCGTGAGCAGGTGAGCTGTCCTGCGTGTGAGCTGCGTGCTGTGTGTCCAGCAGTCCGGACCCGGTGCTAAGGCCGGTGACAGTGTGCCTCTCGTGTCGGCTCCCGAGCCAATCGTGTGCAGCGTGTGTGTGCGTGTGGGCCCGTCCTCCATGCTTGGAGGTGTGTAAGACTGACTGACGAAGGCGCTCTCAATAAAATAAAACGGTCACACACTCTGACGAGAGTATATAGTGGGTCATGTGTCCCCACCCTCCAATATTGCGGTTGGAATGGTTTTGACGGCGAGAACGGGGATTACGCGCTTTACGGCGGGATCCACCGGGAGATAAGGGTCCCCACCTGCACGAGCAAGGATCTTGCAAGGACGATCAGGGACACAGGGGAACGGGAGTGGGGAGCGCATCGCGACACGGAGGGGGGCTGGGCAGGGTTCACCCACACGACAGGGCTAACCCAGGAATTCCCCTCTCGTATATAGGACAGGTTGCACCCGGCGGCACGGGGGCAGGCGCGGGCCTCCTACTGGTTGCGCTCTCCTAGTTCTCCTGCTCCTGACAAGGGACAGCGACAGGTTCGCAGCACGGTGGACTCCCTACTCCAATGGCCGTCCTACTACTATGCTGTTTTCACACCGATCATAATACGCGATCGCGCAGCCTTCCAGCGCTTTTTCTTCTGATTTTTCAGTGCGCGCCATAACAAAATAAATACCAGTCACCTCCAGTAGAGATGGGCGACGCACGAACACAGTGCGCGCATAAGTTTATTTTTTTGCTCGAGGCATGAGTGACTCGCAGGGGCCTGACTCGCCGCCGCCGCCGGGCGCGCTCGTGCTCATGTGCGGCCTGCCTGCGGCTGGCAAGTCGACACTGTCGGCAGCGCTTCTGCGGGACGGCGCCAAGGAGCTGCTGCCGCGGCTTGCGCCCTTCGGCGTCTCGGCGGTGCGGGTGTTCTGGCTGAGCTTCGACGACGTGCTCGGCAACCTGGCGGCGGCCTGCGGTCACACGGGCTACAGCCCGGAGCTGTGGCACCAGGCGCGCGATAGCGTCCTGCGCTCGGTGCGGCACCACTTTGGCGTTGCGTGCGGCGACGGGCCGCCGCCGGCTCCCCTCGCGCAGCTCGGTGAGAGCGGCGGCGGCTCGGGCAGCAGCGGCGGTGCACCCGCCAGCGGCGGCGACAGCTTCGACGTCGTTCTGCTCGACGACAACATGCACTACCGCTCGATGCGGCGCGTGTACCACCGCCTCGCCAGGGACGGCCGGCTCGGCTGCTGCACTCTCTGCCTGCCTCTGCCTCTTGCAGAGGCGCTGCGGCGGAACGCGGCGAGGCAAGAGTCCGCCCGGGTCGCGGATGCGACGGTGAGCCACATGGCCGAGGTGCTGCAGTGGCCCGACCCGGCGAGGCACCCGTGGGAGTGCAGCACCATCTCCCTCCCCTCGGCCTCCTCCTCCGGCGCAGGTGCCCTTGCCGCCTCGCTGGCAGGCGCGGCTGTGGAGAGGAGCGTCTTCACCGCGCGAGAGTCGTGGGTAGGCGCGGAGCCCTTCCCGTGGGACCGGCTCGCGCCTCTCCTCGCCGCCGCCGTCCCAGCCGGCCCGCCGCCCTGCCCTCGAGGAGGCGCCACCCGGCCGCAGGACTCGTCCCAGACGCGTCCCCGACACGTCCCACAGGCCCGCCAAACGGCGAGGAGGCCGAGGAGGCCCGCGCAGAGGCGGCGGCCGCGACCGCCGCGAGCGCGGCGCACGCGCTCGACCTACGCTTGCGCGCCGCCGTGTCGCTGCACCTGCAGTCCGAGGACACGCGCCGGCGCCCTGCGGCGGAGCGGGCGGCGCTAGCGCGGGCGATGAGCTGCCGGAAGAAGGAGCTGCTGGAGAGGGCGAAGGCGGAGGCGGACCAGGGAGGAGGGGGGACGCCGGAGGCGCGCGAGGCCGTGGCGGACGCCCTCGACGCAGAGTTCACGGCCATCTTCCGGACGGGGGGCGCGGGCCGACATCCGCCGGCCGCGGTAACGAGCCGTGAAGGCTGAGCGTGGCGATCAGTGGCGTAAATAAATATATAAAACGGGCAAACTCTGAGACGAGATGGGATTTAGGGACATGTGTCCCCGCCCTGCACGATCTTGGTGTGAGGGATCTTCAATCCGTGTCCCCTCACCCCTCGTCACAACCCGACACGGAAGAGCGGCAAGAGTTGGGGCTGCGGCTACGGCTGCGTGCGGTGTTGGACTTTAATCTTTTGGGTCGGCTACGGCGGCTCTACACGCAGAGGTGACGATCGTGCCGTGGAGAGCGCGGGGGAGCCGGAGCGTACCGTGTAGGGTGATGCTCTGATAAACCCTCTGGATCTTCGACAAAGGTCGGATATTTCTTTTTTCAAAGTGCAAGGTGTGAATACGAGGTTTATGATAGGGCTACTACGACGAACTATGCGGCAATCGACTGGGCGCCTGGCGCCCGACCACCCCCGCGCAAAGACCTCGTAGTAGCCCTCCCCGTAACCGACTTGGCCGGACGTGTCCAGGCCGCTGTCGCCGCGCAGATCGGCGCGAGCAGTCGCTCGAGGGGCTCTACTGGCTGGCGGTGCTCAAGGGGAAGGCGTACACGCTGGCCGAGGACACGGTCGTCAACACTGACACCATCCCCGCGGGCTATCTCGTGGTCAAGGCGCATTGGCTCAGGCTCGAGCAACGCGAGTGCGAGGGCAAGCTTCGCTCCTACACGCTGCTCGAGGCCGAGACGCTCATCATCGTGAATCACATGGTGCGGCTGGCGGGCTTGCGCTTCTCGCCCGGCCCGGGCGGCCCTGCGGACCGCCAGCTGAGGAGCGCGCGCGAGAAGCTCTTTTATATTGGCCTATAGACGCATTACTCGCTCGAGGCGTGCTGCAGTGAGAAGACCAGTCTTATTGAGCCTGTTTGGAGGCGTCGATTTGTGCAAAAATGTGTGTTAGAGAGCGCTAGATGGCAAAATTTTCTTCGCCTCCGGCGGGGCTGCTCGCCGCGGGGCTAGAGAGTGACTTTTGTCGATGTCGGCTAGAAGTGCTGCACGTTTTTCAGAATTTCACCCCTGTGCGCTGTTTGTGCTTTAAGGACATTCTCACGGGTGTCCGCGGCCCACTGTGCCCGCTGGTAGGACAGTGATCGCCGCAAACCCTGTGGTCAGCTCCATATGAGCTCGGATATTTTTTCTGGGTCCTCGTCACACGAGCTTACAGCTCAGGTTCCTCCACTTGTCCTTGAGGTGGACCTGGCGGCGGCGCGGGGGGGGGGGGGGGGGGCTTGGTCCCCTGGGCCCTTTGGGGCTTTTTGGCCGGCAAGGGAAGGCCCCCCCTTTTTCCCGGGGCGATTTAACCTTAACCCCTTCAAGATTTCCAACCACCCACCCTCCCCGTACTTTCCCACCCCCCTCTTGAGCTGCTCCACCTCCGCCACCGTCCACCGGAGCCGCCCGCACTTGGACAGCTGCGGCAGCTTGCCGCCGCCGCCGCCGCCGCTCACCTTGCGCTTCGTCCCGCCTCCGCCTCCGCCGCCTCCGCCTCCGCCTCCGCCGCCTCCGCCTAATCTGCCTCCGCCGCCTACCCCAGCGACGCCTGGGCGCCGCGCAGCTGTCGGCCCGGGGGGGCTCGCTCCGCACTGTGCGCAGCCCGAGCAGGCCAAGCCCTGGCAAGCCGTGTTGGCGTCGGGCAGCGTCGATGGCGGCACCTCGCTGCTGCGCCTGAGCTGCTGCCGGGATTCGTGGTCGCGGGCGGCGACGGCGGCGCGCGCGCGCCGCTGATCTGCGAGGATGCTGCTCAGCAGGGAAGGGGCGCACGAGGAAGGAGCTGGAGCCCCGTGAAAGATGGAGAACGTCCGCGGCGGCGCCTGCGGGACGCGGCCGCTCGAGCCTATCTGCCGGGGAGGACCCTCGACCACCACCTACGCGCGCGTCGTGCAGAAGGCTTGATGAGGTGTCCGCGCGCCTCTCTCGGCGGCGGCGGCGGCTGTGTCGCCCGGTGGCGCGTGCGCAGCAGCCGCGCCGCCTTCTCCACCGCCGCGCGCGGGCCGCGCACGAGAAGGGTGCGGTACTCCCCAGCCGAGGCTGGGGAGAGGGAGATGCTCGCAGACCGCGCCTCTGCCCGCAGTGCATTGAGCTTGCTCCCGCCTGGTCCCACCAACTCTCCGGCCTGCGCAGCAAGGGGCCGGGGAGGGTTGAGCCGAGCGCCTCCAGCGCCCTCACAACCGCTCAGCGCACGCACCTCTGCATGGCCGAGCTCTGCGCGAAAGGTCACCTCTGCTTCGGCCTCCACCTCCACCTCCACCGACCCTCCCGCCTCCGCCTCTCCTGCCTCCGCCCCGACTGCCGCCGCCACCGCCGCCGCGCGCCTCCGCTCCGCCATGTCCTGTGCCCTCCTCTCCCAGTACTGACTCGTCGCCTCAGCCTGTGTGGCTCGGGCGTCCTCGGGCCTCCGGCTCCGAGCCTGTGTGGCGTCCTCGGGCCTCCGGCTCCGTTGCCTGTGTTTCGCGTTGTTGTCGCCATTGCCGCCGCCGCCGCCGCCGCCTCCGTCAGAGTTTGCCGCATGTTCTCTGTGCACTGCGCTGCACTCCTCGCTGTCGCCGCACAACGGCAGAGAAACGCGGTTCGCGGCCATCAACGGCCCGGGGGGCGGGGGGCTCGCGAGGTCTCGCGCGTGGATATTTTTTATTTATATCGATTTATCGGGTGCGAGGTTTGCTGTAACGCGATCCACTTGCGAGGAATGCGTCCCTGCAGCGGAGTGGAGAGCTCTGCCGAGGCGCACGCCCGCTTCAGCACGCCTCCTCGTCGCTCATCGGCGTGTTGGGCGACGGCAACGCGTTGGCCGCCGCGCCGTGAATGCCGCGGTCGGTGAGGACCGCGGGTGGCGTGGCGACAGCGAAGCGCTGCAGCGCCTCGGCCCACGCGTCGAGCTCGACGGCCGTGTCGGCGCCGAGGCGCCACGTGTTGACGGGCGCGTGCAACGGCCCCTCGGCGAGCGCGTTCCGGTAGGCCTGCTTGCCCCACGACTGCACCCTCTCGACTAGGTTCATGCTTGCCTGTGGGGCACCGCCATGGACACCTCACGGACGCGTCGCGGAGGCTGCGCCTGCGACGAGCTCGCGCCTCTGCCGCCAGCGGCTTGGCTGCGCCCCGGCCCGTTAGCCACGACAGCCGGCGGGCCGGCGTCGTCAGCCGAATCACGTCCCGCCCGTCCGCCTCGCGCTCGCGGGAGAGCGAGGCTCCGTCCAGCGGGATGATGCCTATGACGGGCTCATCGCACGGGTCACGGTCTTGCCGCACGCCGCTCCCTCCAGCGGGATTGATGAGCGCCCTTGAGCGCCGCCTTAGAGAGGTCGTCGTAATAGACAAGGCAGGTGCCGACTGGCGCGAGGCCGGTGGCGGCGACGCTCACGAGCTCAAAATGGCGCCGCTTGTAGTTGCGGCTGCCGAGGGGCCCACGTGAGGCGCCCTGCTTGAGGAGGGAGCCAGCCATCACCAGCTCCTCCCCGGCAGCCTCTGCGACGCTCGGTCGCGCAACAAAGCTCGACCGGCCGCTCTCGCGGCCGCTGCTGCGGCCGCTCCGCTCGAAGCCGTCCCCTCCAAGCGCCTCGTCGAGCGAGGAGCCGCGGTACGGCACGACACCACCGGGCGCAGCCACCGCGGCGCCCTCCCGCCGCCCCTCGGCAGCAGGCCGCGCTGGAGTTGGGCCCGGCGCCAGCCCAGCCTCCCAGCCGCCCGCGCCGGCGCGCCACATGCGCAGGGCGTTCCGCTGCAGCCGTTCGCCGCGCTTCCGCCAGAGCAACGCTAGCACCTGCCGACGCGCCGCCTCGGCGCGAGCCGCCTCGGCTCGGATCTCGAGCTTGGCGCGGCATGCCTCAGCCTGAGCGGCGACAACAGACAGTGAGAGTAGCGCGAGAGAGGGGCGGTGCGGAGGGAATGGCGGCGGTGAGGGCAGCGGTGGCGAGGGCGTCGCCTTTGCAGCGCGCGCGGCCGAGACCGCGGCGGCCAGCTCGTCCTCGAGGGCGGAGCGCTGGCCCTCCTCGGCGTGGAGCTCTCCGAGCAGAATGGCGGCGCAGGTGGCGATGCCAGCGTTCGAGGCGGCGAGGTGCGCGCCCGCCTCGCACTCTAGGAAGGCGCAAACCTCGGGCGAGCTGCGGGCGGAGAGGGAGGGGCGAGGTGGGGACGGGCAAAAGGGGTGCGGGAGCGAGGCGGAGGCGCGTGAGGCTCCTGCAGACGGCGCGGTCCTCGAGCAGCTCGTACAGGAAATGGGCGAGGAGGTGGGAGCGCTTCTCGAGGAACTCTTCGCTCTCATTCTTGACGAGCTGCTTGGGCGGCAGGATCGGCACGTTCTGCCGCCCGTACGCCTCGCACAGTTTGAGCCAGAGCGCGTTGAAGTCAGAGTAGCGCCGCCGGACGCACCAACTGGCAGCGCCCTTGTAGACTTCGAAGACGAAGAAGGTGACGGTCTGGCGAGCGCGCGGGAGGGAGCAGGCGCAGGAGGTGAGGGCACGCCGCGCGCGAGCATACGCAGTGGCCTCAATCCAGGGAGGGGGGAGTCAGGCGCAGACACACCCTGCCGTGCCCGTCTTGCCCGACCTCAGTGCACTGGACGGCAGCGCCGACGTCGGCGGTCGCGTCCGAGGCGAAGGTGGACTGCTCCCTGCCGCGCGGCTCCACCCCCTCTGCGGGCCGCGGGTGCATCGCGTTTCAAACCGGTGTGGCCCCCCCAAACGGCTAATCCTCGGCGGAAGCCGCGCTTGACCAAACGAGGCGTCCGTGGGTGAACGCGACAAGTGTGAACACGCGCAGCCTTCTTCTCCATAAAAACAATGAACAGGCAGGGTCTGGCGAGGTACTTCCAGCCTGCTGTGGGAACAGCTGAGCGCTGCTCGCCAAGGCTCGCGAGTTCCCTCGCCCCCCCGGCAAGGGGGAACCCCGTGAGGCGTGGGAGTGCCTCGCCAGCCAGGGCAGGGGCTGGTCTACTGGTCATCAAGCTCCACCCTCTCTCCTCTCTCTCTGCCTGAAGGCACCGAGAGGCTACGGGATAGCGAAAAAACCTAGCGGGGCCCGTAGGAATCCGACGCTCCGCCCGAGCAAATAGCTCGAATCGAGGCACGTTGGTCTGCGATGCGCGCGCAATTTCTTGCAGCGCTCTGCCGCCTCGCGGCCAGTCGAGGCGATGTTCGTGGGCTACGTGCTTCGCGACGGCGAGGGCAACTTCGCCGACTGTGCCTTTCGCCTAACCCAGGTCGTCGCCGTCGCGCCGAAAACCGGCGATTTCGTCGTGCGCCTCTACGTGCGAAGCGGCGGCAGCGGGAACCCCGCGCTCCTCTGCAGCCTGACGCGTGCACGGCCACAAGCCAAGCTCGACCTGATCGTGCCGAGCGACGCCTGCGTCGCGTGCGAAATGAGCGGCGCCGCCCGCGGTGGCGTTGAGGCGCGCGGCGGCCCCAGCCCACCGACCGGAGAGAGCCGCCGCCGCCTGCATCGACAGACCTGCTCTCATCCGGCTGATCCGTCGGTAGGTGCACCTCGTCGGCTACCGGCGGCGCAGCCGCGCGGCAGCGGCGTGCAGCCGGCCAGCCGCTGCCGTCCGCGACGCGCTTGCGGCGCCGGCGGCGGGAGAGGGCACGCCTCGAGGGAGCCCTGTGTGTGTGAGAGCTTTGCGTGCGCTTTAACGACAGGCGCTCGACGAGTGGGAGGAGGCCGAGGCGGGCTCGGACGAGTCGGACGGCTCGGAGGAGGGAGGGGAGGAGGAGGCGGAGGAGGAGGAGAGCGACGCGCGCGAGGAGAGCGGGAGCGGGGAGGAGGAGGCGGAGGAGGAGGCGGCGGCGGAGGCGGAGGCGGAGGAGGCGGAGGAGGAGAGCGAGGAGGACGATGAGAGCTACGAGGAGGGCGAGGAGGAGAGCGGGGAGGAGGAGAGTGAGGAGGAGGGCGAGGAGGAGGATGGGAGTGAGGCGGGGAGCGGGGAGGAGGATGAGGCGGATAAGGAGGCGAGGCTGCAGCCTGCTGCTGTCTTCACAGCTCACGGCGGAGTTGCTGTGAACAGGCGGATGAGGAGGCGAGGCTGCAGCAGCTGCTCGCACTCGCGCGGGAGGGGGGACTGCAGGGAGGGCTCGAGTCGCTCGGTGCGTCCGCTGCAGTGCTTGCGGCGGAGGGCGTGGAGAGAGAGACGCGCCACGACGCTGACACGACACGGCGCCCCGCCCCGCGCAGGCGACCTGCCGTGGGGCTTCTCGCTGTACGGGGAGGAGGAGGAGGAGGAGGAGGAGGAGGAGGAGGAGGAGGAGGAGGAGTGGGAGGGCGGGGAGAGCCCGTTCGCACGCCGCGCCGCCGAGCTCAACCGGGAGAGAGAGGTGGCTGAATGATCTCGGCCTGTAGCCGAGATGCAGCCGAGATGCAGCCGAGGTGCAGCCGAGATGCAGCCGAGATGCAGCCGAGATCTAGCCGAGATGCAGCCGAGATCTAGCCGAGCTCAACCGCAAGGCGTAGAAGCGCCGGCCGTCGGTCGAGGGGGAGGCATGTCCACGACACGTCCACGGCACGTCCCTCCACATGTCCCGTCAGGCAAAGAAGCGCCGGCTGTCGGTCGAGTCGGGAGGCAGCACGCCAGGCTCTGCTCGCACGCCGCGCCTCACCTTCAACGAGCAGGCGAGGGGCGGGAGATCTCGGGGCGGGAGATCGGAGCGAGATCGGCCGAGAACGGCCGAGAGTACTCCGCGCGCCGCTTCGATGTGGCCACGCCATGCCCGGGCCGCCTCAGCTTGCGGGACCGACCCTCCAGCCTGCCTCCGGCCTCCGGCCTCGGCGGATGTGCCGGAGGAGTTGAGTAGTGCTGAGTAGTGTTGATCCGCCTCCTTCGCCAGGTGACGGTGGCGGAGTACGTGCCACGGAGGGTCGGCATCTCGCCCGCCCGCGGCACCGTGCCGCTCACTGCGATGGAGCGGCGGGCCGCGGGCAGGAGTTGCGGCAAGGAGGGCCCGCTCTACCCGATCGTGACTCCCTCGGGCGAAGAGGCGAGCCGACATCAGCGCGAGATCACAGCCGAGATCGCACCCGCAGCACTCTCTGCCCCCCCCCCCCCCCCCTCAAAGGAGCCGGCCCAGCCTCTGCCGCTCAAGTCGCCCACGCGCGGTGTCGCGCGCGCCGTGCCCGCGCACTCTCCCAAGGCGGCGGGTGGGGCGCGGAAGAACGGCGCGGCGGGCGGCGGCGGAGGGGCGGCTGCAGAGGCCCTCTCCGTGAGCGAGCGGCAGCGAAGGATGGGCAAGCTGATCGAGGCCGTGGCGACGGGCTACAACGGCGTCGCTGCGGGCGAGGGGGGCGGAAGCGGCGGCGACGACGACGGCGGCGGCGGCGGCGAGGGCGACGGCGACAGCGGTAGCGGCGGCAACGGCACCGCCAACGGCAACGGCTCCTCCAACTGCATCGGCTCCTTCGACAGGGGAGGCGAGCGCAGCCTTGCGGCGCTGCTCGACGCGCTCGTCGCGATTCGTTGCGCGGCGCTGCGCGGCGCCACCGCCGAGGCTGCCGCCGCGCTTGACGAGTTCAAGGCGACGTGCGGCGTGGGCGCCTCCGCTGCCGCCGCCGCCGCCGCGCCGGCAGGGCCGCTGCTGGCTGCTCGCCAGCTGCTTCCCGACGCTGTGCAGGCTGTCTCTTCGATCGGCCAGGCGCCCCCCGTCCCGGACCAAGAGGAGAGGAGAGGAGAGAGGAGGGGAGGAAGAGGAGACGAGAGGAGAGGCGAGGAGCGGAGGGGAGAGGAGAGGAAGAGGGGAGAGGAGAGGAGGAAGAGGCGAGGAGAGGAGCTCTTCGCTCGTCGCTCGGCAAGGCGCCTCGCCCGGACCTCACCACCACACCACCACAGGCTCGTGGACGCGCCCTGGACGTGTCCCGTGATGACACGTCCACGACTTGTCGGCCAGGCGCTCGCCCCGGACCTCGCCGCCGACAGCGCGCTCAGTGGGCGGGCGAAGCTGACGGCGGTGCTGGCGGTGGACGACTTTTACTTTGGCGCGCTGTACGCTGAGCTCACCCGCGACGGAAGCGGCGCCAGTGAGCCGGCCGCGCGCCTCGGCGGCTGCGTCGGGCCCCCTCCCCCCCCGAACTGCTTCAGGAGATGCCGTGGACACGTCCCGGACGCTGCCATGCCCCGCCTAGGCTGCTCGACCCCGCCTCCTTCTTCGCAGCCTCGCACCCGGCCGGCTTCGTGCGCGCCGCCACCGAGGGAGCCGTCTCCGCCTCCCGCGCCTCCTCCTCCCGCGCCGCAGCTGCCGACGGTGGCGGCGCCTCTCCCTCCGACGCGGTGCACTTGCGCGCCACGCCCCGGTGAGGGGTGAGGGGTGGCATCGAGTGTCGGCGTAGGCACCTTCAGCAACGCTGAGGCGTGGGCCGCGGGGGGCGGGTGGACGGGACGCGCGGTGGCGGCCCACGTCGCATTGCTCGCTGCCTCGCTCTCTTCGGCCGCAAAGCCTGCGGCGCCCAACCCGCTCTACGAGCTCTGGAGGCTGCGCTGGGCAGAGGCGGCGACGCTGCTGCACGGCGGCGGCCTCGCCTCCGCGGCACAGTATGCAAAGGCCAGGCCGGCCGGCCGCGCGGCGAGGGACAAGGAGCCGCCCGCGCCGCCGCTCGTGCGGCGCTGGAGGAGGGGGGAGCGAGAGTGGCCCTGCTGGTGCCCTCTGCCGCCGCAGCCGCGCTTCGTGGCGGCAGGGGCGGCTCAGCCGCGCCGCACGCCCCGCTGTAGGTTGCTCGCGTTTGCAGTGCCGTCGGCGGAGGCGCTGGCCGCGGTGAGTGAGCTCGGGCTGCCTGTCGTGGAGATGGGGGGCGGGGTGGGCTACTGGGCCGCGCTGCTCCGCCGGCGCGGCGGAGCGGTGAAGTCGCTGGTCTGTGGTCGGCGCCTCTTCACAGCTCTCGCCGTGAACAGGCGAGGCGTGGCTGTCGAGTGTTTCGACAGCGCGCCGACGGAGGCGGGCGGCAAGGGCGGCAAGGGCGGCGAGAGCGGCAACACGTTCCATGGCGAGAGCGCCCGCCGTTTGGTGCGCCCCTTGAGACGAGCGTTTCTTCACCCCTCCGCCCGCCCGCCTCCAGGCGAGTGCCCGCCGTGGGGTCCGGTGCAGCGCGGCTCGAGCGCTCTGCTGGCGAGCCGACGCTTCCGGCGCCTCGCCCGCTGCCACCCGCCCACGACACGCCCACGACACGCCCACGACACTCGTCCACGACACGTCCACGACACGCCCACGGCACGCCCACGGCACGCCCACGGCACGTCCACGACACGCCCACGACACGTCCACGACACGCCCACTGTCACGCCACACGTCCACTGACACGCCCACGACACGTCCACTGACACGCCCACGACACTCGTCCACGACACGTCCACGACACGTCCGCCGACGCGTCCCGCAGGCGGCACGCCCTGCTGCTGTGCTACCCTCCTCCTCGGGCGCCGATGGCGGCAGAGTGCCTCGCCGCTTTCTGCGGCGACACGGTGGTGCACGTGGGCGAGTGGTTGGGCGACACGGGCAGCCCCCCGCCAGGAGGAGTCGCCGCGCTCTTTCAGCGACACGCCCACACCCCGCTGCGGCGCTGCTGTAGGCAGCGCGGCCTTCGAGGCTGCGCTCGCCGAGGGGTGGGAGCTGACCCGGCGCCACGCCCCTCCACGCCCCTCCCCCTGCTGGGACACGTCCTTGGACACGTCCGGATCTTGGACACGTCCAGACGACGCCTCCCCTTTGCGCCCAATAGGAGGCTCCCCCTCCCCTGCTGGGGCGACACGGCCGAGGCAGCACACTGCCGCTTCACCCCTGCCCTCGCCAAGCGAGAGCTTGTGTCACCGCCGCGGCGTGGAGATAGGACCTCACCATCTGGCGGCGGCGCGGCGGCGGCGTTCCGCGGGGCGGCGGCGGCGCGGCTGACCACCCTGTCCTTCGCTGCGACAGCTGCGGCAAGGCGGGCTCGCTGCAGCCCGCCACTGTGCGAGACAAGCCGGGGCTTCTCCGCCGCTGCCGCTACTGCCGCCTCGCCTGCTACTGCTCCGCCGCTTGCGCGCGGCGGGGCGACGCCGAGCACAAGAAGTGCCATGCGGTGCGGATGATCGGCGCGCCGCCGCCCGCCGACTTTGGCGGCCCAGAGTACCACACTTGCTGCGTCTGAGCTGCGCGAGTGGCAGTCCGCAGCAGAGTGCGCTCTGGCCTGGCCTCGGGCGGCAGGCGGCTGGGGGTGGTGAGGACGCTCTCGTATCTGGCTCTTCCAGGCGGCACAGCACCGGCGCCGCGACACGTGCATGTGCATGAATCGAAACCGACTCGATGTCTCTCTCTCGTCAGACTGTCTCGCGGCCGCGGGGCGTGTGGGGGGACGTGTTCACCTGTTCCGCACGCCTTGCGACGGGGGGGGTCTTGGGGCGCATGTCAGGCGTGCATGTCCCATCGGTGTCCGGGCGGGGCGGTGACGGAACACACCGCGCCGCTGTGAACTGTGGGGTGGTCTGAGACGTCTGTCTGTGAGTGTGTCTCTGTGTGGACCCCGCTCGCCGCTGTCGCCGTGTGGGCTGTGGCCGCGCGCTCACTCGCACGCGCCGCCAGTGAGCGGCTCTACCTACGACTCTCATTCAAGGTCCTCTCATGCTTTATCGTGTTTTTGGTTTTGGCAAGACCCGAACACGCGGCGGCGACGCCACAATGACGTGTGACCCGGGAAGCAAGTAGAGGAGAGGAGAAGTCGGATCGGCGAGCGCACCCTCTCTCCAGGCAGCGCCGCGGGACCCCACACACACACGCCCCCGCCAGCCCTTGCCCAAAAGCCCCCTCCTTGGCTCCGCGGCCCAAATGTCGAGAGCAGCGCAGCCTCCTCGCCCGGTGTCCAGCCCTCCCCCGCAGGCGCCGCTCTAGCGCAGCCTCCTCGCCTCGCGCTCCCACTCGAGCAGCATGAGGATGTCGCCTGAAGTGGTGAATGTGGGGGGTGGAGGATAGGAGGTGCGTGCGGCGGCAGTGTGGGAAGGGGGGGGGGGAGTAGATGGGCAAGGGTGGTGGCGCAGAGGGGGAGGAGAGGGGGCGGCGGTGGGAGGTTGGCCGGAGGGGAGGGGGCGAGGCGCGGTTGGAGCCAGGGAGGGGGAAGAGCGTGGCGGCGCTGCAGGCCGGCCGTCGCGTGGGGGAGGGAGGAGTGTCGCGCACCCTCGCGGATCGGCCCCTTGACGTTGCGGACAATCGAGCGCGAGGGGTCGTCGAGGAACTCGACGCGGACCTGCGAGACCTGGCCAGTCTGGCCGGTGCGACCAAGCACCTTGGTCACCTTGGCGAGCTTCACCGGCTGATCCTGCAGCGGCGGCGGCGGTGGCGGCGTCGGCCGCAGCGTCGAGGCAAGCGGCGAGGGGATTGATGGGGAGGGGCGGATGGGCCGGCAGCGTGGAGAGGGCGAGCAGGGCGCCGCCCCCGGCGCGGCAGGCGCGAGGGCGTAACGGAGGAGAGAGCAGTGGCGCGGCGGGCAAAACGACGCGAGGCGAGCTGGCACCATGGCACGCGTTGCTCAGAAAAAATAAACCTTGCGTCATAAAGAAAAAGGCAGGGTCAAAACGGGAGGAAAACGGGAGGAAAGCGGCGGTCCTTGTGGTGGGCCACCCTGTTAGGGAGTCATGGATGCCAATCTGCAACGTAAAAATTCTTTCTGTGGCGGCGCCTGGGGGCTGTTGTACAATCCAGCTCCTCGTGGGCGTTTGCTCGGCTTCTGCTCAAGCACCGGCTCACTCACAGGCGATCGATGGCTCCCGTCTTCGAGTCGGCGCCAAACGACCCGACCGCTCCCGAGCTGGGCATCCTCGGCACCCGCGAGCAGATCCTCGCTGTGTGCCTGCTGCAGGAGCGGCTTGCGAGCTGGCGCGCCCGGCGGCGGCAGGCAGAGGCGCAGCGGGCAGAGGCGGAGCGAGCGGAGGCGCTCTGCGGCGCCTCGGCCAAGGTGGTGCAGGCGGCGGCGCGCGGGCGCAGCGCTCGCGTTGCGCTGCCGCAGCGGCGGGAGTCGGCGGCGGCCGACAACAAGATGGACCTGAGGCAGGCGGGAGTCGAGGCGGAGGTGGTGCAGCAGCAGGGCGGCGCGGCGGCGGTGATCCAGCGCGCCAGCCGAGTGCGAGCGCGCGCGACCGCCGGTGCGGCGGTGCTGCTGCAGGCGAGCGTGCGTGGCAGCGCCGCACGACGGCGCAGCGAGCGCGGCGAGGAGGAGGAGGCGGAGCAGGCGGAGAAGGCGGCGGAGGCGGCGCCGAAGGAGGAAGCGGAGGCGGTTGCGGCGGGCGGGACGGTGCCGGCGGCGGCGGCAGCGGCGGGGTTGGCAGAGGTGGCTGCCCGAGAGTGGGAGAGCAGCGAGGGGAGCGACGAGGGGAGGGAGGCGAGAGGGGCGTGCGGAGGCGGCGCGGCGGGCGCGGATCCGGACGGCGGCGGGTCGGCGGCGGCGGCGGCGGCGGCGGCGGCGGCAGAGGCGGCGGAGGAGCGAGAGAGTTTTGTGATGCGGTGCTTTTGAGACGGCGATGCGGCCGGGAGAGGCAGGGGGGTCCGGGGGGTCACGGGCGCGGGTTGTGAGCAGGAATTTGGACACGGGCGAGGCAGTGGTGCTGGACGTCCCGCGCGGGCGGGCCGAGGAGGAGGAGGGGCGCGAGAGGGCGTCGGCGGCGCTCTCGTCGCTGATCACAAACAGCGGCGAGGGGGAGGCGATGACACGTCCATGACATGTCCTCGGCATGACACGTCCCGGACATGTCCTCAGGCGAGTGGGAGGCCATCAAGCGAGAGGCGCGAGGCGTGCTCGAGAAGCTCGCGTCGGCAACCAGCCGAGAGATCGCCGAGAGACAGCGATGCGGAGCGAGTTCGCACCGACACCCGCACCGACAGCAGACCCCCCTCCTCCGCAGCCACGTCCACAGCACGGCCATGACACGTCCACTCCTCCGCAGCCACGTCTGCGGCCATGACACGTCCACGGCATGTCCCAGGCGAAGACGCTCTCCTTCCGCTCGTACCAGCTCTGCGTGTGGCAGGAGAGGCAGAAGGCGGCTGCGAGACACGTCCACGACACGTCCACGACACGTCCATGGCTCGCCCCTGCAGGAGAGGTGGGTCTACGCGGCGGACGACGCGCTCTGCTACCAGCACCTCAACAGCGAAGTCGAGCCGATCGGCGCACCCGAGCCCGTGACCTCGCCCGCACAGCCTCTGCACAGCCACCGACCTGCCCCCCCCCCCCCTCCCTTCCCCCCTTCCCTCAGGCGCCGCCAAGCGGATCCCGTGCCAGACCGTCTGAGCCGGCCGGCCCTTCTAGGAAACTTCCGGGAGCCTTCCGGGAGCCTTCTAGGTACTCGAGCGTCGAGTTCGTGGGCCCTTTTGACGAGACGCAGTTCGTGATCAAGTGCGCGGGCAGGGTGAGCGACAGCCGCGAGAGCAGCCGAGAGGCCCAGCCGAGATCTCGACTGGCTGATTCACCTCCTCGAGACGCGCTGCATCTCGGCTCTCACCTCGGCTGCATCTCGGCTGTACCTCGCCGCTCAGGCCTTCACCTTCCTCTGCGAGACGACCGAGCAGCGCACGAAGTGGATCAAGAACATCGCCGCCCTCTCCGGCTGCTCCTCCTCCACCGAGGTCTGCTTCAAGTCCCAAACCATGGGGCACTGAGACTCGGGTTAGGGTCTGGCGCCGCGCAGCAGAGCGGGCGGGCCAGAGGGGGCGGGCCAGAGGGGGCGGGCACGCGTCGTCTCCTCCTCGCGCGGCGGCTCGGAGGGGCTCTGTGAGACCGGCCTGCCCCATTCAACGCCCTGCCACTCCTTCCCGCGGTGCCCGCCGGCGCGCGGGGGCGGTGCGTCTGTGATGTCCGGGGACGTCTTGCCGTTTGAGGTGCGGCGGCCCTTGGCCTAGCCCTTGTCTGCGCGGTGGCGGCGGTGGCGGCGCTGGCTTGGGTGGCCGGGCGCGCCCCGGCACAGGGTGCGGCGATGGAGACGGAGACGGAGGGCGATGGAGATGAGGGGGGTAGGGGGGTATCGGTCGAGATGGACGCGACGCCCTAGACGATGTTCGATGTGTCCTCGGCTCTTGGGCTCGAGGTGAATATGTCCGTCGACTCTCGTACGTGCGTTGTCGTATTGCGTTATATTGGTTTACTCGTCTTGGCGTGAGATCGCTCGCTATACTCTCAATACAGTACTCGTCGCTGCGCCCAAACTACCAGCAACCACGATGCACGAACCAGGGAGAGAGGCGAGGGGCACAGGCCACACGACTTGAACCAGACTTGAACCGTCACACATCTCACGCGGCCCCGAGACCAGCGGGCTGCGACGCAGTGATGCGCAGCAGTAGGCGCCGGCTCGGCAGGAGGGCCGAGCCGAGCCGAGCCCGGCCCGCCCCCAGCGCGAAGAGCGCCTCCCCCACCCCCACCCCCCACCCTCCCGTCCCCAGCACACGCCCGGCTGCCCGCCATACCTGCCCGCCATACCTGCCCGCCTGCTTGCCGTCTCTCTCTCTCTCTCTCTCTCTCTCTCTCTCTCTCTCTCTCTCTCTCTCTCACCCCATGCTGTCGAGGGGCGGTGCCTCGAGCGGCTCCTCCTTTGGCGAGGAGGGCTTGCCGCCGCCGTACGAGAGGGCGCCCAGCCGTGCCCGGTCCTCCACCGCCGCCTTTTGCTGGTCGCTGCTGTACTGCGGCGCCTCCTCGCGCGAGGCGCCTGCACACAAAGAAAGAGGGTGCGGCAAGGGTGCGGCGCCTCTCCCCTCTCTCACCCTCGACGAGCTCGTTGAAAGTTGGGGGGCGGCGTCTCAACAACATCTCGGCGGCATCTCGGCGGCGTCTAGCTCCCTCTCGGCTATCTCTCGCCCTCGACGAGCTCGTTGAAGTCCGGGAACTTGACCTCGTCGAAGAGGCCGATGTAGTCCTCCTCCGTGAAGCCGACCTATCTCGCACACTCACACTCCTCACACCGACCGGCACACAGTAGCACTCCTCTGCGAACGGGCTGCAGCCGCCTCCGAGTCGCCGAGGGTTGGGGTTAGGGTTGGGGTTAGGGTTAGGGTTAGGGTCAGGGTTAGGGTTCGGGTTAGGGTCAGGGAGGGTTGCAGCCGCCTCCGAATCGCCGAGGGTTGGGGTTAGGGTTAGGGTTAGGGTTAGGGTTGGGGTTAGGGTCAGGGTTAGGGTTAGGGTTCGGGTTAGGGTGGGCTGCAGCCGCCTCCGAGTCGCCGAGCTTCTGCAGAAAGTCCTCGGGGACCTGGACGCCGCTGCCCTGGCAGTTGATGCAGACGACGGTCCCCGTGCTCTCGCAGGTGCCGCAGTCCTGCGTGGCGAAGCTGCCCTCCGTCGTCCGCAGCTCCAGCACCTTGTTGCCGTAGCAGCGCCCGCACACAATCTGGCCCGTGCCGTTGCAGTAGGTGCACTTGAGGCGGTCCTTGACCTGGTCGCGCTTAACGAAGGCGGAGATGACGGTCCCGATCACGCCGACCGACCCGCCGATGAAGGCCGCACCCGCCGCCTCGGACACCAGCACCCGCCCGTCCTGCGGCGACGAGGGAGGGTTCCGGGGGATGGGCGTCAAGGGGAGGTCTGAGCTGCGCCACAGCGGTGCGGCAGTCCGACCGCACGGCCGTCCAGCCACTCCGGACCCCTCCCGTGCTAGCCGACGTGTCTGGCAGGGTGGTGGCGCCTGTGTGATCTGCAGCCACGGGTTGAGTGTCTCGAGGCAGGCGCCCACGTCCGCCTCGTCAAGGCAATTGAGCAGCGGCAGCATATCGTACGCCTCCAACATCGCCGGCGCGCAGCCGCGCGGCAGGATGGGCGGCGGGGCCAACGCTGGGGCGAAGCTGGGGGCCCATGGCAAGCGCATGCTCCAGCGAGCTCTGATCGGATGGGCTCGTCGGAAAGAATTTTAGAATCGCGCGTGCCGTCCTCCCATCTCTTCCTTACGCGCAACGCCAACGGTGCGCGCGTCATGCATTTTCCTTGCAGACTTTCAGCGGACGCGCTGACGCTTCACACAAAACACACTCTCAAGCTGCGCCCCCGCCGCTCCGCGAGAGCGCCACCACGCCGCCGCCCGGCCGCGGCCGCCGCACGCTGCCGGCCCGCCGCCTCCGCGAGGAGCGCCCCGGCGGCCGCTCGCCGCCACACCACGGCGGCCGCTCGCCGAGCAGGTCCTGCAGCGCGCCGCACTGCCGCCGCATGAGCGGCACGCTCACGTCCAGGTCGGGCGCCCCCTTCTTGAAGTACCTCCGCCGCGCCTCCGAGTCGTACACGCGCTGGGAGAAGCGGGCGGCGGCGACGCCCCACGGGTACTCCTCCTCTGGCAGCCGCATCACGCGCAGGAGCCGCCGCACCATTGGCTCGCCTACGCACGATTCGTGGCAGAGGTCCAGCGGAGCTGCGAGGGCCGAAGCCGCGCCGCTAATCGAGGAGCAAGGCTCGCCGTCCCGCGCCCACGACTCCATAAACACGACCCCGAGCGACTGGTTGACGACGTAGCCGGCGTCGACCCAGTCCTCGACCCACCGATCGAGGCGCGAATCCTTGGCGACGATCGGGTCGCACACGCCGTGCCCCGCGGGGTCCCACGCGTCCTCGAGCAGCCAGTTGGGAGGGATGCTGTACCTGCGAGCCGTGTCCCGGGTGCGTCATGGATGTGTCCTCTGCAGCCTCAGAGGGGGGGGGGGGGGCACCCGTCCGCGCGCAGCGCGGCAGCGAGGCTGCGCGCCGCCGCCGAGCGTACGCAGTCGGTGCGCAGCGCGACGACAGAGGAGAAGAGCCCCTCGACCGTGGTATTGTACCTGACAAGCCATTTGGGCGGCCGTGGCTTGCCGACGGCGAGACGAGGCTCCTCTCGACGGCGGCGATGCGCCTCCGCTTGAGCGTGACCTGCGCGAAGCGGGTGAAGGTGGAGCGAGCTCCGTGGCGACGCAGCTCGTACTCGAGGAAGTAGATGAAGAAGCGGAAGGCGCGCTGCACCGGGTCGCACAGCGCCAGTGCCACCGATGCGGATGGGTAGGCGCGCCGGAGCCGGCGGGCGAGGACGGACGCATGCCGATTCTCGAGGCCGGGGTGCTTCACAATCCAGGCGAGGCCGCTGCCGGGCGTAACGCCGGGATTGTGCCTCACCACCAGCTCGGTCGCATTTGCATCCCGCGGGTCAAACAGGACCTCGCTCTGGTTGGTCAGGCGGACGCGCGGGTGGAGGGCGAGATAGTTGGCGAGGGCATTCGTGCCACACTTGCCGAGGCCTGGAACGAGGAGAGCGGGGCCGCACAGCGAGTGCGAGCCGTTCCAGAAGAGGTCGCACGGCGGAGGTCGCATATACATGTGCATGAGCGCGGCGAAGCGCCCGCCGAGGATGATGGATGTTCCGAAAAATTCGAGCATCCAAACGCGTCATGTGGGCGCTGTCCGCTGAGCCACGTGCTCGCTCGCACCCACACCAGCGGCGGCCCTGTGTGGGAGGCGCGTGGCAATTTGTCAGCCTACTGTGCGGCGTCCACCAGCTGTCACAGCGATGGGCTCGCCCTCACTGGCCCTCAGTCACTTGTACTTGTGCTGCGGCTTGTGTGAGCGACACCTGCTCGGCGACTGCCGGCACACTGTGAGACCATGGGTGTGAGATAAAACCACGCTACCAGCTACCAGCGCTTGGTCACATCGGCCCCGAGGTCAGATCCTTCTACTTTACTCTGTTGATGACAAGACTTGTCTACTGGGCTGGGTCTTTAGGCATTGTGGGGTTGGCACTCCCATCGACCCTCATGACCTCCTGCGGTCTCTGAGATGGACACCAGTGGGTGTGGGACCACAGGCAGGATACACTCGAAGGCTGGGTAAGCAGTAGAGGTCGATACTCGACGCGTCCCACATGGTCTGTGTCGCTGTCGGCACGCTGTCGACAGGACGTCGAGCGACACCGGTGGCAGTGCCACCCAGGAGTGGTCGTTCGTCTCCCGTCATGAGAGAGCCACCATGTGATCCGTATGATGATTCCTGACAACCGCCTCAGTCAACTTTCGTCACAGTTCCCGCTCTGAGAGGAGCTGCGGGTCAGCTCGACAGCTGGAGCTGTGTCGCCGGCGTGCGGCGGCCTGCCTCCGGAGGTGCCTCTGAGGTGGACATTTTTTGGTCACCGTGAGAGAACGCGTTCGAATTTTTACTCGGGAGTTTCAACTCCACACGCGCACCGGCCAGGGCTACAATAGTGCCAGTGAGGCGGAGGCGCGAGTCGGAAGGCCGCGACCGTGACTTGGTCCCTTCGTTGTCCTACAATCGCTGTCGACCCAGCCACGTACGGGGGCTTTATACTCCCCGTACCTGGAGGTGGAGCCGAGCAGGTACGAGGTAGCAGGGGAGGGCCTGGCGCACAACCACAAGCCACAAGGGTGCCCCACAACTCCTGGTCAACTGAGGGGGTCCTTCCCCTTTATGAGATATGTGTGTCCCCCGCCCCTGCACGATAAAATACTGACGGCTTTTTATAGAAAACCGCCGCGGGACGCGCGCCGCACGAATGCGGCCTCTCGTGTCGCCCGACGCCGATCTACGACAGCGCTAGTTGGGGACTCCCACCACTAGTGACGCCTCTCGCGACCCATGCAGCACGGCAGGGCCTCTCGCCGCGCCTCGCCGCATGGCCATCACTGGGGCACTGGGCGGAGAGCACCGCCACGGCCTCCCCATCACTCGGCCGCACGCTTCTCGCCCTCCTCCTCCTTCCAGGAGAGGGCCTCGTTGATGTACTTGTACCCGAGCCCGCCCAGCGCGAGCGCGGGGGGGAGGGCGCCCACCTGCCGCCCGGCGTGTCAGTGGACATGTCAGTGGACGTGTCAGTGGCGTGTCAGTGGACATGTCAGTGGACGTGTCAGTGGACGTGTCAGTGGGCGTGTGGACGTGTCAGAGGACGAGTGTCAGAGGACGTGTCACGGGACAGGGACAGGTGCGGGGAGAGGGAGAGTGAGGGCAGCCTCGAGGGGAAGTTGCCTGCCACGGCAGCCACTCCGCGTACCCGATGCCGCGCGACATGGTGGTTGCCGTTAGCGGGATGGAGGCGAGGGCGAGCAGCTCGGCGTTGACGATCGAAGTCATTCTCGCCACGAGCCTGTCCGCAGGCTCTAGGCGTGGAAAGACGCTGCTCACGTGCACAAGGCCCGGCCACCCTCGCCTCGAGCCTGTTCACAGACACGCGAGCTCAGGGCTGTGAAGGCATGGCGGCGCCTCCTCCTCGCCAGCAGGCCTCGGGGACATCGGCGGGATGGACGCCTCTCCCGCGTCGCGCTGCCTATACCAGCAAGGCTCCGAGCAGGCTCCGAGAGCAGGCTACGAGCGAGGCGCGCCAAAGCCCGCGTCTCGCTGCCGAAGTGCGCGCTGGATGATTATGGCCGTCGGGAAGAAAGATGCGGCCCCTGCGGAGCAGTCAGCCCTCTGGAGAAAAGCGCGTGGCAGAGAGGAGAAGAGGGAAGAGGAGAGCCGAGGCGAGGAGAGGCGAGGAGAGGAGGGGAGGCGGCGCCTGCGACGGCGAGCAGCGTCAGCTTGAGCCAAAAGATGGGCTCGTGCGCGTAGAACTCCCACCCCTTGCCGAACTGCGTGGCTCGGAGGTAGCCGGTCACGACGATGACCAGGCCTGTTCCTCAAAGTAGAAGCCCGTTCATGCTGGTATGGATCACCGGGGCGAGGCTGCCCGCCACTGCAGAGCGCCGGCGACGCCGTACAAAGAGTCGGCGATGGAGAGGACGTTGTCGTCCGCCTTTCCCATGCCCTCCTAGTCTCGACATGCGCGCGGGTAAGCAGGCGGCGCACCCTCTTTCCGCCCTCGTTCACACCTTGAGAGTGAGCCGCTCCGCAGTGAGGCACACGCCGCTGAGCAGGAAGCCCGCGTAGTGCAGGTAGGCCACAACCGCGCTGGCCAGGGCGTTGGGCGCCGCCGACGCTGCGAGGAGGGGCGCTGGCAGCGAGGTCGCCGCAGCAGCAACCTCCGGCACGGAGAGGTCTGGCGAGAAGAGGAGCGGCTGCTGACTGCGAGAGTGGCGTGGGGAGAGACGCGGTGGCTTCAGCGTGGCAAACGCTTCAGATTCGCGGACGGCGAACGCCGCCATCGCTATGAGCGCGATCGAACGCATCGTGAGCTTGTGTGGTGAGCGAGTGTTCGAGCAGCTGGTGTTCGAGCGTTCTGCGAGCGAGTTACGGAGCGTCTCTTTCTTTTTTGAGCCGTTTTCCTTTCTCACACGACACCTCGCTGCAGTCGACCGCCCTGGGCCGATCCGGCTGGTCGAACCTCGCATGTTGCGGCCGTCGGCGCTGGGTGGCATGCTGCGGCCTGCACGCCATCTGGCGGTGAGCAGCCGCCACTTCGCCGCCGCTGCGTGCCGCTTCGACCATCTCGGCGGCGAGCAGCCCGCCAGCATGAAGGGCCGCCTGCCGGTGACGCTCTTCTGGGACGGTGCGAGGAAGCGTGGTCTAGGGCCATAGTGCGAGGGAGCATGGATGGGAGGACGCACTGAAACAGCGACTTCCCGTCGATACCCACGCACCGCATCCGGCGCCGCCTCCTGTGACCTCTGCCCGGTCGGCATATCAGGCGCCAAGCCGTCGGATGAGTTCCCGTCCCTGGCAGCGGAGATCAGCGGCACGCGAGGGGCGGAGCTGACGCGCTTCACGCGGCTCACTCATTCCATCCTGCACGCGATCGCGCGGCCCGAGAGCGCGGCCATGCTCGGGCTGAGCATCGCCGCCATCTACTCGGTCTGTGCCCCAAACGGGCACGCAGAGGGGGGTGGGGCCAGAGATGCCATCTCAGCCGCATCTCGGTCCGTCGTGGTAGGTTGGTCTGGTGGAGGGCAGCGTGGTGCTCAAGGCGGGCATCTGGGGCGCCGACATGCCTACGGCGGCTCACTTTCTCCTCCGGTATGCCTACGAGCAGACGATGGTCTCAGCGGTGTGGGGGATGCAGGACCCAGTCACGATAGCCACGGCGATGGGCCTCGAGCCCGCTGCGGTCCTGCGCCCGTCCATCGCCACGGGCGTGGCGCCGTCCGAGCCCGAGTGCGCGCGCGGGCTGCTCCAGGTCACCGGCCTCTGCGCCGTTCGCTCGCTGATTGCGACCACCCTCTTCCTCTCGCAAGTGCCGTGCTCTCCGCCTCGCGCACGGCCACGGCAAGCCCAGAGCGCTCTCGCCTCGAAAACAGGTGCTTCGCTCCGTCTCGCTCGGCATGCGCGCCGCAGACGACTTTCGCGAGCGAGTTGCGGCAGCTCGCCGAGACACGTCCGCGGCACGTCCGCGACGCCGCTTGCGCCGTGTCCAGGCGCGTGCGGCTGGGACGCGAGCCACTCTTCCCCGGGATCGAGCAGCGGATCATTCGGCTGTGCGGCCGGCAGTCGGACGTGACCGAGGTGTCGCTGCTGCGGTACGGGCCGCACATCGTGCCGGTCTTCGAGCGGCCGGCCGCAGTTGCGACGCTGATCCACGCCCACTCGCGTGCCCTGCGCGAGCCGGTCTACTGGCAGGTCTCCGAGGGCGGCTGTACCTCGGCTGTACCTCGGCCGTATCTCGGCTGCAACTCGGCTGCATCGCGGCTGCATTGCGGCTGCAGGTCTCCGAGGGGTCGTACTCGCTCCCTCGCTCGTGGCACGCCTTCCCGTGGAACGCGGACTTCTTCCTCACCACAACCACCGGCCGGAGGCTCCTCTACCTCGAGGCGAGACATAGCCGAGACACTTCCGAGACACTTGCGAGACACTTCCGAGGAGGCTCCTCTACCTCGAGGCGAGACATAGCCGAGACACTTCCGAGACACTTGCGAGACACTTCCGAGGAGGCTCCTCTACCTCGAGGCGAGACTAGCCGAGATCTAGCCCACGACACGTCCGCGACACGTCCGCGACACGTCCGCGACACGTCCGCGACACGTGCAGCCAGACCTGACCAGCGTCGGAGGCGAGCCAGAGGCGGAGCCTTCCGATGGAGTCGTCGGAGCTCTCATGTGCAGGCGGACCTGACCAACTCGGAGGCGAGCCTCGCCCTCTCGGCCAAGCAGGCCGACCTGACCATGGAGGACGCGTCGCAGGCTTTCCTCCGCATCCGGCGTGCCGCGAGGCTGTGGCAGCGCTCGACGCCGCAGGCCAAGCCCTTTCGCAACTTCCGCGTGGTGCTTGGCAACCCGCGCGCGCGCGAGGCGGAGCGGACGCGCACGCTGCGAGAGCGGATCGACCGGCTGCACCAGGACACCTCCTAGAGGGCACCTACAGACTGCTCAGAGCTTCTGCGCGAGAGGAGCGGTCGTCTGCACCAGGACAGTCCCTAGACGCGGTCCTATAGAGACTGCATAGTGAGAGACTGCATAGCGAGAGAGGAAAGGCTGCCCCAGGCGGACGTCCTCATCGACAGCCAGGCGCCCGTGATCGGCGAGGTCCTGCGCTGGTGCGCAGAGGTGTGCGGCAAGCCCGACTTCCAGTGCGGGGCTCGCGAGGCACGCATCGCGGCTCTGCAGCGGCAAATCGAGGGCGGCGGGCGGCCGGTGGGGGCGGCGGGCGGGGGCGGCGGCAGCGGCAGGGGCAGCAGCCTGCCGGGCAACACGAGCGTGTAGGAGTCTCGTTCGCGATCGGGCCCGCTCCATGTCTGGGCCACTTGCCATAGGCAACACGATCGTGGTGGAGAGCGATTCGCCGGAGCGTTTCAACGCGCTGGGGCGCGTATTGAAGCCCTTTGGCTACACGGTGATGGACCCGGTGGAGGCGGAGGAGCTCGAAGTCGCGGCCGTTCGGCCGAGAGACCGGGACGCTGCGCCGCTGGAGCGGCTGCCGCGGCTGGTGCACTGCATGTCGACGGCGCAGACCATCGCTTCGGTCCAGGCGCTCGTCGCGCCGCGCAAGGGCTTGCGCGGCCTGGTGGACGTGCGGCGCTGCTGCGCGCTGCTCGACCGCGCGGAGTCCGTCGACGCGCTCGAGGACGCGCACGACGAGGCGCACAGCCGGCACGCGGAGCTGGTCGAGGAGCTGGTCGAGCGGCTGCCCGCGGGCGAGAAGCCCGCGCTCAACATCGTCTGCACCGCGGTGCTGTACGACGACCTGCTGCGGCAGGTGCGGGACCTAACCCTAACCCTAACCCGAACCCGAACCCGAACCCGAACCCTAACCCTCTACGACGACCTGCTGCGGCAGGTGCGGGAGTGGGCGAGGCTGGGGCACAGCCCGGCCGAGATACAGGCGGAGCTAGACGCGCGATTCGCGCGCGTGGCGGGCGTGCTGGGAGACGTTAGCTTCGTCAAGTAGCGCCGCTGTACGATCGGGTCATTCGTTCAGCGCCACGATTCAGCGCCTTCAGCTTCACCCAGCTGCAGTCGCCCAACCCCCCCAGGGGATGCGCGTGGACGGGGAAGAGTCTCAGGCTGGCCGAGATGCATCTCTGTGCGACAGCTTGTCGAGTTTACACATGTGAGAGAGTGTGTGTGCGTGTGTGTCTTCTTCGTTGAGTCGGTTGGAAGGACGATGAGAGCCGCGGTACTTTTCGGGGGTCGGGGCCGCTAATTTCCCTCGCTAAATTCTTTTCGACAGTGTTTGTGCGCGATGCCGATGGAATTTTCCTGTTTTCGTCTTGTGAAGTATGAGCTATGACGGCTTCTGAATTCGCTGTGTGGCGACCGAGGGTGGCGACGGCTTCTGAGGAAGCCGCGTCTGTCACGGGGCGGGGGTTCCCGATGGGTGGCCGGGTGAGGGCCCGAGGGTTGCGGAAGGCGCGCGGCGGGGTCGGCGGGCTCGAAGCCGGCTTCGAGCCCGGCCCGACCGCCGCCACCGGGGGCCGCCGCGCCGTAGAGCGGCCCGCCGGTCTTCCTACCGGCGATGCACGCGGCCGCGCTTGGAGGCGCTGATTGCTCGGCCGCGCGGGGGTGGTTGACTCGCCCGCTGGGAGGGTGGTGCACGGGGTTTGCGGCGGGGCCCCCAACGTCCCCGGGGCGGCGCGCCGCGCGCGGGCAGCCCGCGCGCCGCCGCCGCCGAGGTGGTGGTGTCGGTGATCTTGGTTTCTGTCTCGGCCTCGGTCTCCATCGCTCTGAAGAGCATCTTCGCCTCGCGGTCGAGGTCGCGGGCGCGGGCCCCGAGGGTTTGCGCTCGCTCCCTATCCCGATGCATCTCGAGCGTCACCCGGAGGCACTCGATCTCCGCCCGCGCCTTCGCGAGCTCGGTGTGGTCCGCCCGCCTCACGGGCCCGTGGGACGCGCCGTCGAAGTCGACGTAGCGATCTCCCGTGTCTGAAGGGACCTTCCCTTCTGCGCCTCCTCCTCTGCAGTCCGCTGCGGAGGGCTCGCCGAGCCGCGCCGCGGCACGTGCTTGTGCACCTCGGCCAATGCCTGGGGCTTCCGTGTGTAGAGAGCACGGCCGCCGGCCGCAACTTAGGGTACCCCTAAAGGAATCGGCGGCCCAGAAGCTCTTAAAACCTGCCATGGCAGGTTTTAAGCCGTTTAAGCCGCAGGCACCCCAGGGCCCACCCTTTTAAGCCTAGGGGTACCCTAAGGGCCGCAACGCCCGTCCAGACGCCGTCGCTCTGGGCACCCGGCGTCAGGAGTGGCTGGCTCTGCAGCTACAACTGGTCTCGTTCAAGGGCACCCCTGTCGGGTACGCCGTACGTGTCGTCGCTTGGCGGTGGTACGGAGCGCCATTGCGCGCCGGGGTCTCGTGACCCGTGGCGGGGATCATAGTCCGCGCCGGGGACCTCCTCGATATCGTATGTCTCATGCATGCCCGCAGGAAGCAACGTGCGCCCCCGCGGTATGAATCTCGACGTGGCTCGCAGCGTTCGCGCTGCCATCATGGTCAGATGCTCCGCAGGACCATGTCTCCGGAGGGCCGACAAGCGCCGTGGTTGTGTAATTCCCGCCGGTGCGCTTCTCTGGGTTCCCAACGATCGGAAGCCCACGGGCGGTGCCGCGGTCCCTGTCGCTGTATCCCACCCCAGGGGTAGTCACGCCCGAGCGTCCCCTCGGGGTCCGCCTCGAGCCAGTCCGGGTTGTTAGGCCCGAAGGTTGTATAGTTCGCCGCCATCGTCGTCTCCCGACGGTGCGCTTCCCCAGGCCCTCTCTCGCGAGAAGTCGATAGGAGGAGGCGCGGCCTCTCTAGGACACGGCCGCTGCTCTCTCCTCTGCGTGGAGGAATAGTCTCCACCCACGAACCCGACTCGGGCAAGCTCGCTGTATGGGTAATTTCGCTCATAGTCACGGGCCCACGCGGCACACGCGCGGGCCGGCTCGGGCTGCAGGGCGCTCTCCCACAACCACGCTGCACCCGACTCTGGGACCAACGACAGAGGTGTAACGACGTTCAGCCCGCCGACAACAATTCGACTCCTGGACTCGGTATCTAAACGCGGCGAAGGTTAATCTCGAGTCCCCTTCTCAACCCTTCGCGGGTTTTGGGGTGCAGTCACCTTCCCCCGCGACACCGTCGCCCACGCGCTTCTGAGGTACTAACAGCAACAGCGGGAGCCAGCGCAGCGCCAACTCGAGCCCTCTCCCCTGCCGCGCCGAGAGCTCCTCACAGCTCTGCCTTGCTGTGGTCATTGACAACGCGCGGCGGCATCCCAACCATGCCCACGAGATTGTTGTAGAGCTGGCAGCCGAGCGGCCACTCGAGGGCCTCGCCGCCGACCGACGACGCGTAGGTGACCGTATCCGTGTCGGGGTCGATGCCATAGGCGTCCAGCATCGCGGGGATGTCTGCGGGAGGGCGCCGTGTATCAGCGGGCGCTGTGTGCGGGCGGCGCAACGACACCGGATTTGCAACTGGAAAGGAGCGGCGCACATGCGGATGCGAAGCAGTAGTTCTTGGAGTACTTTTTCGAGTCGTTGCGATACTTGGTGACGCCGATTGCGGACCACTCCGTGCTGCAGAAGTCGCTCCCGGCCGAGACGATCTGATATGTCTTCACGTATGTTCCCTTGCCGACGGCAAGGCCGAGTCCCTGTCAACCGGGGCGTGGGTGGGGAGCTGGTGGGGAGGCGGGAGGGGGCGGGGCGGGCGCCGGGGGAGCTAGGCTGGGCACGGCGTTGGCAGAACGCCTGGGCCGTGTAGAAGAAGGCGCTGCCAGCGAAGAACGTCTTGTTGCCAACCTTGGGCTGGTAGCGGCCCGCGACTGCGCACGGCTCCTGAAGGCACTGATAGTTCTTGTGCATGATGCCTCGCCGTCCGGGCGGTCCTGCGCGTCCAGATCTCGGCGCCCGACGAAGGTGCCAATATTAAATCGTCGGCGAACCCTAACACTTTTAGAGTGTGGCGTAGTTGGTCGTCGCCTCCCGTCCCGGGAATTTCCACTCCCTGGAGGGTGTCGGTTGTGCTGATGAGGGAGAGAAAGCTCTGTATCACCAAGAGGTGCAGAATGGGGGATAGCGGGCCTCCTTGTGACACTCCGTTTGTCGGTCTGAACGCCCCGCCAATGTGCGAGTTGACCTTGACTTTGTACTCGCTGTTCTCGTACAGGATTTCTACCATTCGCCTGAAGTCCTCGTGGATACCCATCGATTGCGTCACCTGGTGCATAAAGTCCCATTGCACTCGCGGGTACGCATTGTCCTGATCGCAAAAGAGTAGAAAGCCCCCCTCCATGAGCTCATCCGCCCATGCGATGTAATCTTGCACGAGCTGTGTGTTCTCGATGCTGGGCGGCCTGAAGGCTGCGGCCGCAGGCCGCGTACGGGTCACCCAGCCGCCTCGATGACGCCGCGGCACTCCTCGTAGTCTCCGGTGCCGACGAACATCACGTCGCGCTTTGGGCCGCTGCAGGTCGAGCTCGAGCCCAGCGCTATGCCCTCGCACACTTGCATGCTCTTATTGTAGCCGGGGTTGAAGCAGGGGTTAGCCACCTCGTCAACAGCGGAGCTCTGGTTGTACAAGTACTGTGCGACGCGCAGCTGGCCCTGGTCCTGGCCGCTGAGCATGTACGAGATGGAGTACACGTAGCTGGTGCGCGGCTGGGTTGAGTACTCAGAATGCATCACCGCAACGCCATTCTCCGTGATGACTCCGTCCTCCGGCTCGAAGGCAATCTGTGCGGGGCCGGGCAAGCTCACACATGTTGCCGGGAAATTTAAGGGAGGTGCGACGAACGGGCGCTCGGAGGGGGGGGGGGGGGGGGGGCGTGTGCCTGAGTCGACGCCCCGCCCAGATCCATCCAACCGTAGGTCTGAGTGCTTGGCAGACCGTTGACCGACTGGACCGCCAGCCAGCCGAAAATGCCCTCGTAGTCGCCCGCAAGCGTGAAGGCGTCTTCCGCCTTAAAGTCAAAATCGGTCGTGCTGGCGGCCGCCGCGAGGTCCTTCCAAATCGCCGCCTGTGTTGTTAGGCACGCGTGATTACATTATTAGCTAACGGGCTGGGGTATAAAGTGCGGCTTAGGGTATAAGTGCGGCCTGTTTTGTCGAGTCGAGCAGCCGCATGCCCGCAGTGGCCTGCATGCGGAGTTTGGTCGCTGCCCGCAATGTCTCTGGAACTTGGTCCGTAGCCTGATCTAAGAGAGGCTGGATGTACTGGTCGATGGTGAGGTTGCATGCGGTGTTGGTCGGGCAGGCGGGGTGGGTGGTGTTGACCAAAAGCTGGTCGCAAACGCCGTCATGGTTGCTGTCACCGCTCTCATCGCAGCCTTGCCCGACAGCGAAGTCACTGATGCCCGGTGCGACTTTGATGCTGCCGTTTGGCGCCTCCACCTCCTCCAGTTGGTCCGGGGCAGAACTGTCCCACGTGAAGTAGTGGGCACGAGTGCCGCTTGAGCCGCAGTCGAAGACGATCCCCATTCGGACGCCCGATTCGGACGCGCCTTTTTCTGGGATCGTGCTTGCGAAGGCAGCGGCGCCAGGGAGGAACAGCATGAGTCTGGCCCATCAGCAACACGTGATCGCGTCGACGTACCAGCAGGGCCCAGGCAGAATGGCGCGGATTCCCCTTGGATTTGCGGGCACAGCGAAAAGAATTTTATCCACACTGCCTCGAAAAAAATTTACGACAAGCCCGTCGCAGGACACGATTCACGCGACAGGCGAGGCGCGGGCGACGGCTTCCTCAGAAGCCGTCACCCGCACCACAGGAGCAGTCACACCACCACTCCCACCCACTCCGGCGCCCACCCACTCCCCACCCCGACATCCCCACCCCACCCCGACCCGAGCAACCCCGCCCCAACCCGACCCGACCCGATCCACCCCGCCCCACCCCGCCCCGCCCCCCCCACCGGACAACCCCGTGAGCTTCCCTCGGCTCCGCCCCCCGCCCAACCCTCCCCCGCGCATGCGCCTGCCGCCCGCGCCGCCTCCCCCACGCGCGCCCACGACGCCGCAGCCGCCCCGCACAGCGAAAAGAATTTTACAACAAAACTCCCTCGCACGACACTGGGCACGGGACTGGCGCGCACTGGCACTAACACAGGTACACCGTATAAGGGGAGAAACGGGACTGGCGCGAACACTGGGGGGTCCCTCTTGCATGGGGGCTGAAGATACGTGCCACTCCTTCCGGGAGACCGGCCCTTGGATCCTCCTCACCGTTACTAGTGCTGGCTGCCCATTTGTGCAGCTAGGTGTCCCACTAGCCACCACGGATGTCTGCCGTGCAAAGCCAGGGGGCTGCGAGGCCTGTTCTCGCGGATTAAGTAGTTAGCGTCGGCTGATGGGTGCTTGTCGCGTGTGCGCGTATGTGCCTGGGTACTGGGGGGGGCGCGGGTGGTGTGTCGCCCCCCTCCTCTCTTGCGTTAATGAATTGGACAGGATGCGATCCGAGAAGCCGAGAGGGATCAAGAGGCCGCGGTGGAGGGCGAGAAGGCGGTCCTGGCGGAACTTTAGGGCAATCGGTCTGTCGCTCGCAACCCGACCGGATATCAAAAGCCAAGTTGTGTTCGGACAACGGGCCCGCCGACGCCACTCGCCTCTTCACACAGCAGGCGTATGCCATCATCGCCTGCCTCCCCGACGGTGTCGGTCCTGGTGCAATGTCGTTGACGAGTATCCCCCCCCCCCCCCACCGGAACACCTGCCCAAGGAGGTCTGTCGAGCCAACCAGTCGTCTAGCCAGGCCCCGTACTTCCCGTGCACTTTAGAGCAGGGGATCGGGCGAATGAGGAAGCGACGCGGCTGATGGACAGCTTACGACCTAGCGGAGCGCGAGGGGGAGGAGAGGCGAGGCCAGCGGCGAGCCCGGGCCTTGGCCCCCTCCCTCCGCGGGGGGGGGCAAGGGCTAGATCCCCCCCCGAAGTGCGGTGGGCGATCGGCGCGTGGAGCCGCGACGGGAACGGCCGCAGGACCGAGGGGCCGTCCCCGAGGTTCCACACCAGGCGTTGCGGCCGCCAGTACCGCCATCGTACCCGCTCCCCCCACCACCGCCTCCGCCCCCATCGCTGGAGTGGTTGCAGGGTCATGGGGCCGCCACTGAGGCTCCATACCAGGCGATGCGACCAGCAGTACCGCCACCGTACCCCCCCCCCCCCCCGCCGCCGCCTCCACCCCCGCCGCCGGCGTGGCCGCCACCGCTCGGACCCACACGAACTTTGGGGAACCCGGAGCCGCCCCGTCGGAGGCTGGGCTACCCGAAGGAGGGGAGGTACCGCGAGGCGACAGCGGGTCTGTCGGCGAGCCGGAAGGCCAAGACCGGAGGACCCCGAGTGCGACCTGGAGTCAATTGTCGGAGGGGTGGTGCGAGTCGAGCTGACTCGGCCTCTTCGAGTGGGGAGTCGGGACGTACGAGCCCACCGGGGGTAGACCCGTCGCGGCGGCGGCTGGACCGCCGTGATCTACGACTAGGAGGGCCACGCCTCCCCGAGCTTGAGGAGGGGCCGGCGGAGGGGGGGGGCGAGCCGAGAACGATAGAAAGGCCGCGGGTGCGGGCGCGACTCGTCGACCGAGGAGAGCCGGCCCGACCCCCCGGGAGGCGACACGACCCAATGCCGCCGCCTTTGCCCGTGGTCTCGTGTGTGGGGGAGGCTCAGCAGCCCACCACAGGGAGGTTTCGTCAGTCTCGGCGTCGCATCTGCCGCGCCGAGATTCGACGGACCGAAGGGGTAGAGGCTAGCGCTCTCTGCCGAGAGAAGCGCAATACTCAAGACAATGATTACTACATCATGCACGACCTCGAGCGTGCAACGCCGCACAGTGCTCAGGGTTCGAGCAGGTGCAGGCGAGTGGAGGGGCCCCTGGCAGAGTGGCATCACCTTGCACTTGGATCAGGGATCACTTCCCTTCCCTTTTGGGGGGCTGCGAAGGGGAAGGCAACAGGATTCGACCTTTTTACGGGGTAAGGTATGGTGAAGTCCCGGCCCTGGCGCCGCGACCATACCCCCCCACCCGCACAGGACGTCGCCTCTGGCCAGCAGGACCATACCCCCCCACCCCCCACCCCACCACACGAGCGTACAGTAACCGTCGTGTTAGGCCGTCCGGTCGTGCGGCACGGTTCGCGCGATGCAGTCTGCGCGAGGTGACCCGCCGGCAATTGTGTTCACCCCTCAGGGCGTGTCCGCAAAGGCCGCCAGGGCCTTGCGTGCCGGCGCAGGCGCGGGCGCAGGCGCGTGGCTGTTCTTCTTTCTACCTACCTACCTATAGCGATTGACCATACCCCCCCACACCCGTCGAGCAGGCCGCCTCCGGCGGCCAGGACCATACCCCCCCCCCTTTTGTCCGAACCATACCTTACCCCGTAAAAAGGTCGAATCCAGATCCCTGTGAAAAAGTCAGCCTGGTAACTTACGATGCCTACTGCCTTGAGATCCATCCTCTCGCTCCTCCTGGTCGCGCCCTCCGCCGGCTTCCGATGCGCACCGGCAGCTATCCGCACTGGCTATCCTGCAGCAGCCCGCCAGCCTCTGCCGCCCGCCATGGAGTTTGGAAAGGGCTTCGGCTCGTACTACAGCGGCTGGATCGACTTCGTAAAGGAGTACCCGCAGGAGGACCGCAATGCCTACCCGGCCCTCTTCGAGCTGCCAAAGGACTGCTACGAGGTGAAGCTCGACAAGCCGCTGGGCATTGCTTTTGAGGAGGGGAGCGACGGCGGTGTCGTTGTACAGTACCTCGTCGAGGGCGGCAACGCGGAGCAGAGCGGCGTCATCAGCGCCGGAGACGCGCTCCTCGCGACCACGGCCTGCATGGGTCGCGACGGCACTTTCGAGCGGAAGGTGATACCGTCCCGCTTCCTCGACTTCGACACCATCATGGGTGAGGCCGCCGCGCGGGGGACGGCGGGCCGTGTGGCAGGCGCGGCTCTCATGCCATGCCTATGGAGCAGGTGCGATCGGCTCCAACGAGCCAAAATTCAGCAAGACGAGGACCAACGACGTGATCCTGCAGTTTGCACGGCCCGGCGCGCAGACCCGCCTCGCCCCGCGCGCTTGCGGCCCTCGGCGATCAGACGACCCTGCACCGTGCCAGGCGCGCCGATGGAGAACGAGGGCGACCCGTACGACGGCGGCTCGCGCGGCGTCAAGGACTACCTCAAGTCCCTCGAGTTCCCAAAGGACTCGCCGTGGCTCAAGCGTTGACACGGACGGGACCGCACTACTTCCTCGACATGCTCTGTCTTCGAAGCGCCGCGTACTCGCGTACTCGTCAGCTGTGTAGAGGCTAGCTCTCAGCCACAAGCCGCATGTAACATGACAGGGAAACTGAATGCGCTTGTTTACAGTATACCGTCGCTCTCGGTGGGGGGTCCCGCTCCAGAAGTTCACGCAGAAGTTGCCGTAGAGTAACTTGAACGTATCTTGATAAAGAGGAGCCGCGTAAAAGGCATGTTGTGCGAGTATATGGGACAAAAGCGTCGAAAATGTCCCAAAAAGCGTGTCTCGAGTTTGTTGCAGCTCCGCAGCCTGCGCGCGCTGCCGGGACGCACCACTTGCTGGATCTGTGCACTCCCTGGGTCCCAGGGAGTGCACAGATCCAACAGGAGTGAGTAGGCTCGACGCCGTACTCGAGATGGAGCTGCAGAAAGTACGCCGCCGAGCGTGCCACCGACGGCGTCCCGGCGGCGGTGATGGAGTGTGAGACCTGAGGCTGCGGAGGTGACGCCTGAGGTACCGGCCCGTGCACAGCGACTCAGCCGGCGACCGCCACGGGCTCAGACGAGACTTGTCGACTCGTTCCGGCTCAGCTTCACCGTGGTCATCGGGCGTCTGTCGACGTCAGGACCACCCATACAGCTCGCGGGTTTGAGGTCGCAAGAGCCAAGATGGTGGCGTTTGGACATCCCAACCATCACACAAGACAGCCTGTAGGTGATGGCGGGACGGCGCAGTGTTTGTGGCACTCAGCAGTAGGCACCCGCGGCACGGCCCCGCTGTCGGCTCTCGCGGGCTGCGGAACCGGCCCCAGAGGGAGCCGGTCCGGGCGAGTGTGGCAGCTCCTGCGCTAGTATGGGCACCCTCTATCATAGCACTACTGATCCTGGTCATTAGAGCTGCCAGGGATAGCGTCAGGAGCCGGTAGGAGTCAAAACCTCTCATATTTGAGACATCGTGTCCCATATACTCGCACAACGAGCCAAAAAGCCGTTGTCCGCTGCTCTCACGCTACCCCCGTGAGGATTTTCTTTTCACCCCCGAGCCGTTGGGCCGTTCTGCGGGCGGGAGCCCCGGCGGTCCGCGGGCACTGACCCGACTGTCAGGTGCGGAGGGGGAGGCGCTGTCGCGCCGCAGTCGGGCAGTCGGGGTGTCGCTTTTCGTTTTACTGTCAAACCCCGGTGCTCAGCGGATGGGCCCCGCGCCGTGCGCGTCTCTCGTCGACTCTCGACTCTCGTCCATTCATTAAATTCGCTGAAAGCTCCCCCAGGACATGGCTCATGGCCCGCACACATCAACCCCAGAGCACGCGCACCGCGGTCGAGCCCGCGCCTCGGCTCGCCGCTGCCCGTCACAACACCTCCAAGTCTATGTATTTGAACTCTGGGTACGCCGTGCGCACGATGTGCTCCAGCCGGTCTACCTGCGGCGAGGAGAGCGGCGAAATCACTCTGCGTGCCCGTGTCTGCGGTGTGTGGGGCGAGGCCGAAGGAAGGTCCCGCGGCTGCTGCTTGTGGGCACGTCGCGTGAGGGCGGCCGGCGCTGCCGCCTCGATGGAGAGAGTCGCGAGGAGGAAGACGGCGGACCGCTCGAAGAGTCGCTTCGCGTCCTCCTCCGTCTCGACCGCGCGGCACGTCTTGTGCACCTCGCGCAGGTTGTTGTGCGCGGCGAGGTACTTGTCCGAGAGCAGCTGCGGGTTGAAGTGGATCTCGGCCTTGAAGCGCGCGCTCTGCGGCCCCACCAGCACCGACTTGACGTCCTGCACCGTCAGGACCATCTCGTCCGCCTACAGAGTGTCTCGGGGGGGCGTCCCGGACGTGTCCCGGACGTGTCGGCGTCCTCTCGCGGCGCCTCGAGCGTGCGGACGACGTCGCGGGTGCGGCGCGGCACCGACTGGCCAAGGAAGGTGCGGTTCCTGTGCAGGAAGGGTCGGGGGAGGGTCGGGGGAAGGCGCACGAGCCGCCGCCCTGCCGAGGAGGTCTGGCTCCGGTTGATGATGAAGATGGCGACGGCGCCCATCAATCCCCCGACGGCGATCGAGCCGGCGGCGTCGTAGACCGGGTTGCCTGCTCACAGCTGGAGGGGTGGAGAGGCGCCGCTCCACACCCACTCCTCGCGGCGCCGCAGGAGCAGGGCGGCCAGTCACGTGCGTGAGGCCGACGCCTGCAGGAAGGCTCCGAGAAGGCTCAGGGAAGGCTCGGGCGAGTGGCAGTCACAAGCGAGACGCCGACGCCCGCAGCGGCGATGCCGACCCCGACGACAGCCACCGAGTCCTCGAGCAGGACGGCGGGGTTGAGCGGGTCGGTACCTGCTCACGGCTGCGGCCGTGACGACGCCTCGAGCCGCCAGAGCGGGGTACGAGCGGGCGCCTCTGCTGAGGTACTGCAGCGGCGTCATCTCCGCCTTGCGCGCCTCGACCTGCGAACCCCATCGCAGCGCCCGTGAAGGGGCGCTCGCCTCGCGGCCGGCGGCTGTGTATGTGCTGGCGGCGCGGAGACACGCGCCGGCAGCATCTCGTGCCACGCGACGGAGAGAGTGCAGTCTCGTGCAATCTCGTGCAATCTCGGGTGATCACGCCTGCATCTCGTGCCATGCGACGGAGAGGGTGCAGTCTCGTGCAATCTCGTGCAATCTCGGGTGATCACGCCTGCATCTCGTGCCACGCGACGGAGAGAGTGTACCCCTCGAGCACGCCCGCCTGGGAGGGACGTGTCGGGGACACGTCATGGCCAAGCCACGCGACGGCGCGACCCCCATCGAGCACGGCCCGCCGCGAGGAGCACGCCGAGCGCCGTCGGCAGAGAGTCGATCTCGTGCGGCGCGAGCAAGCACGAGACGCCGTGGTACACCTGCGCCGCGCTGCCGGCGGTGAGCGAGAGGACGGAGAGGCGTGTCGGCATAGAGACGCCCGTGCTGCACCTAGACACTTCCTCGACACTTCGTAGACACTTCCTAGAGAGTCGGCAGAGAGACGCCCGTGCTGCACCTAGACACTTCCTCGACACTTCGTAGACACTTCCTAGAGAGTCGGCAGAGAGACGCCCGTGCTGCACCTAGACACTTCCTCGACACTTCGTAGACACTTCCTAGAGAGTCGGCAGAGAGACGCCCGTGCTGCACCGACGCGCCCGCGCCGAGAATGAAGGTCGAAACGCCTAGACGGTGGTCCGGAGCAGGCTGGGAGGAAGCTCCAGCTGCAGCGCAGGCGACGCGATGTCGACGCCGGAGATCATTGCCCAGACGTAGACCTCGAAGCCATACCCGTACGGCCGCTGCTCGTCTGCGACGCGGAGCGACTGCTGCAGCCCGACGGCGAGGAGGACCTGCAGACATGCCCCGGACAGAGTGAGCCGAGATTGAGCATCGACTGCAGCGCGGGTGCGAGGAGGTCGCCTGGTTGCCGAGGTCAGCGATCGAGTGGATCGACTCGGAGAGCAGCGACGCAGAGCCCGTGCAGATCCAGCCCGCGAACTTGATGCCCGCGACGCCAGAGTTGCCGACGATCGCGGCGAAGACGGCGCGCGACCCGACGTTGATGTGGCCTGCAGGGGTCCGGGCGGGCTCCGAGAAGGCTCCGAGAAGAAGAGCGCGATCGTGCGTCGGTGTGCGCCCGCTCGCTGCCGGACGGGCCGCAGCAGCATCAGCACCGGCGGCTGCCTCCTCGCCAATCGCCTGCAGGGCCCGGCACGCTGAGGGTCGGGACACGGCCAGCAGCTACGCCACCTGCCCCGCTTGGCTAGGCTGCAACTCGGCTTCCTCTCGGCTTCCTCTCGGTTGCACCTCGGCTACACCTCGGCTACACCTCGGCTACGCCTCGCGCCTGTCCCGCTTTGCGCGCCGCTCCTGCAGCGCCGCCTCGAGGAGCTGCGCGGAGCCCCACTTGCGCAGGGCGGCGTCCTGCGCGCCGAAGACCCGAGATCGCCGAGATCGCCGAGATCGCCGAGATCGCCGAGTAGCCGATGCGCCGCCGAGGTGCGGCCGAGGTGCGGCCGGAGTGCGGTCAGGGCGCAGAAGTGCGGGCGAGGTGCAGCCGAGGCGCGGCCGCGGTGCGGCGGAGGGCGACAGCCTGCACGTCAAAGACGACGTAGAAGCGCGTGTGGCGCGGCGCGCCGTACACGTTGTACTTTGCGACGAAAGGCAGCCCAGCGAGGTCTCGCTTGCGCAGGTTGTACTGCTCGTACGCCTGCGAGAAGAGAGCTCTGCTCACCACTGGGACTGCCGTACGGGCTCGCTGCGCCTGGAGGGGGGCTTGGAGACGGGATGCGTCGAGGAGCGAGGGGGAGAGGGTACCTCGTGCGACGAGAGCGTCTTCCACTGCTTCGAGTGCCCAAACTCCTCCATGCGCCGCTCCTTGCCCTTCTCCCACCGCTGCATCGAGCTCACGTACGTCTGCGCCCAGCCCGACTCCCACCGCCCCGTCGCAGACGCGCCGGACCCCTCCCAACGTGGAGGAGAGCGCAAAGGCCCCACCCTCGGCCCTCGAAGCTGCACGTCCGGCCCTGGCATCACCGTCGGCAGCCGCTTCGCGGTGCTCGCAAGCGTGCGCGCTGCTGCCTGCAGCGGACGGCTGCTGCTCCGTCTGCATGAAAGTCTCCGACGCCACATCCAGCCCGATGACAGCCCGGCGGCGGCAGCCTTCGATCGCCGAGAAGAATTTTACAAAGCGCCTCTCTCCCAGCACACTGGCACGACAAGGGCGCGGACTGGCGCGGACTGGCACACACACCGGCTCACCACCGGAGCCGCCTAAGCGACTCCGTTAAGAACGGCAATGCACTCCGCACCACCATGCACAATGCCGCTCTCCCCGCACGCTAGCTCGTTCACCATCTGCCACGCCACTGCGGTGTGGAGGAAGAATGGCACTTTTTCGATGCTGGTAGCCCCCCCAAAACAGGCGCGCGCAGCGCGCCCAGGGGCGCCGCAGGCGCCCCAAGCGGCGCGGAGCGCCGCCGCAGGCGGAGGACAGCAGGTGCGCGCAATTAAACGCCATTTTCGGTTCCGCGGTTTTGCCACTAACATTGAAATCCGGTACAAAACGACTTGAGCCTTCCTTCCTCGTCCAGCGCCACTATATGGAGCCGAAACTCCCCTCCGAGCAGCCTCTCGCGTCTCGGCCTCTGGGCTCATGTCCAGGATGCATTTCTGGTGGCGATTCATAACTTGGAGCACTTGGAGTGCAGTCATTAACCTCACATCCAGGGCCGGGGAGCTGAGAAGCGCACCCAGCGGGCCGGATGATCGGTATCGGGTTACGGGCTAGAGAGCCCTAGCCCCGGGGGTGCGCGTTCGCAGGGAAAGGGCCGTAAAGTAAACACAGGTCTCCGAGGGTTAGCCCCGCGTACCGGGTTTCCCCTTAACTGCAGGAGACGCCCCCTCTACTCGGAGCTAATGAACACCACCCTGCACGCCCCACACCACCACTCTACACTCACTTGCGTAGACGTTTGAGTAGACCCCCCCGCCTGAGGACTCACCCCTCGCCTTCCCAGGGTCCCGACCCTCCTTGAAGCTTGATTCGCTCTCTTGCTCGTCTCCCGAGCGTTATGGCTTATGCGACGACCGGTATGTTTCCCTCGTGCTTTCTCCGCTGCCGCCCTTCGTCTCCGCCAGCTTCTCCCGGCTCCACCGCTTCCGAGGGCGTCGACGGCCCGGCCGAGGCTGCAGGCAGGGCCGAGGTCTCCCCGGGCGAATGCGGCCGCAATGGATCCTGAGCCGCGGCTGACTGCGATCGCCCCAGCCGACCCGCTGTGAACCTCGCGGGGGCTCGGGTCTTGCGGACCTAGGGTTAGCTCACGCTGCTCCTCCCTGGGTCTCTTCCCACAGGAGCAGCTGTGAAGCGGCTGCGGCAATAGCAGACAGAGGCGCGAGTAATGTCTTTCTTCGGCTTCGGCACCCCCTCCAAGCCCCCGGCTGCGCCGTCGGCCACCCCGGGCACGCCAGCGGCCCCGCCCGCTGCCGAGCGCGACTTGGGCGACCTCGCCCAGATACTCGGCGACGACGCCGCGCTGCAAGAGGCGGCGTCGGCAGTGGCGGCGCAGCCGGCGGCGATCAGCGCGAGCGTGCTCGCTGCGGAGCAACTGGCACTGGTAACGCGCCTGCAGGCGCTCTCCCACCGCCGCCTCATCCGGCAGCACGCCCGCGCTGCAGCCGCAAGCTTCGGCGGTGCGAGCAGCTCTGGCAGAGACGGTGGGCCTGAGGCCGCCCTCGATGCGTGCCACGTCCGCGGTAGGTGCGGTGGAGGAGATGGCCGGGCGGCGCGATGCGGGCCACCTCCCGCGCACAGTGGCGGCGCTGTGGCCATCGTACATGCGGCACGAGCAGAGCAACGACGAAGGCCAGGCGCCGCCTCGCGCCTCTCATCCCGCCTCACACCTCTCACCCCTGCTCACCTCCTCCCTCCTGCGCTGGCCACGCCTCGGCTGACACGCTGGACTCTCGCTCCCCATTCGCCCCTCCCCGCGCCCTCAGGAGCTCTGGCTCTCCAAGCTCTACCTGCACGCCGTCGCCGCCGCCGACCCCGCGCCGCCGCCGGCCGCCGGAGACGCCTCACCTTCCACAGGTGCATCTCCCGCCGACGGCGTCGTCGAGGAGGGCGGCGGCGGCGGCGTGGAGCGAGTGCGCGCCACCCTCGCCGGCGCAGGTCTCGCGCTCTACCCGGCCCCTCCAGTCGGCGTCATCCATCAACCAACCGACCGACAGACTCGACCGAGAGGCACGCTCTCCGCCTGCGCAGGTCTTGCGCTCAAGGCTCTCCCTCCGTCGGCGCTGCCAGGCGGCGGCCCCGCTGCGCGTCCGCTCCCCACGGCGCCTCCCTTGCACCTCCCCCGGGGATGTTTCTGCAGGCGCCGCCTCGCTGTACGTCCGCTTCTCCCTCGCCCGTGACCCGGAACGAGGCACGGCCGACCTCGAGCTCCAGCTGCAGCAGATCGCGCCGGTCAGCCGCGCCTCTCGCTGCGCTGGTCGGTCGGTAGCCAGTACACGAGTCGAGCATCAACACCAGGTGAGTCGCCTCTCGCTGCGCTGGTCCGTCGAGGACGTCGAGCTCAGGCCCGCCCCTCCCCCCCTTGGGTGCAAACGGCCACACGCCGGACATGGCCCAGACTCCTCCTGCACCTCTCCTAGGCCCCGCGACTCCGGGTCGCCGCCGTGGACGGTGCTCGACGACTCGCTCCGCGCGAAGCTCGACGAGGTGCAAGAGCTGCTCGGCTTGCCCCCACCGGTCTGGGGCCCCGCCGCCGTGCTCGGCTTGCTGCTGTCGGCATGCGCCGGCCTGCCCGGCTGCGATCCGGCAAAGTCGATCGCGGCTTCGCTGCGCGCGGCGCACCGCGAGGAGGTGCTGGCAGCCGCCTGAGAAGCGGGGAGGTGGAGTATCACGAGGGAGAGCGGAGTCTGCTGCCACTGGCGCGGCGCCCGCGGCGTCGGAGGCATGAATTGAGGTGCGGCCGGGACCGAACGCTGCATGGGGGCAGTTTGGGAGAGATCCGGTCGGTCCCGGCTCGTTTCAGGCTACATTTCTCTCCTACGCTAGACGCGAGCGGAAGACCGCGCCCACACTGCCAATGTACGTGTCGTGTAACGTGTGGGCACGAGGAGAGACCGGGCCGCCCGCCACCGGCACCGCCAGGCCGCTCGCCCTCGGTCGCTCGCCCTCGTGCCGCTCGAGCTTTTCAGCACGGCTAGCTCAACACATATCACCGTTGAGGTCCGCCGCGCGCCCCACCTGTGAGCGTGCCACCCACACAGGACAGCAACACGGGCTTGGATTCTCACACAATGGACAATCAACAAGTCAACATGAACGTCGAGATGGCATCATCTCACGACACCAGTAACCTCTCCGCTCTGCGCGGCGCGCGAGGCCGGGTCGAGGCGAGGTGCGCGGGCCCGCGGCACCACTGCACTCTTCCTCGTACGGTATCTCACACATGGCATCTTGCCAGTAGAGTTCTCACCTCTCTACTCGGACGGAAAGCGCTGCATGCAGCGCAGAGAATGGCAACTCGACAAATGACGGGCATGAGCCATGACGTATGGCTGCGCGCGCACGGGAGCAACGCCATGCGGCCGCTACAAGGAAACTCATCTTCCCTCAAACGGTTGCGAACTTGCCACGTCGCGACTTCTGCGGGCTGGAGGACTGCGAGTCCACGTTCGGCAGCACGAGGGCCGGGTCGTCGTCGCCCAGCGGCTCAAAGGGGCAGCCCCAATCCTCGCGAGGGAGCGTGGCGCTTAGGCCGGTCGAATACGTCCTTGCGCGCAGCTCCGCCGCGCGCATGATCTCCGGCGGCAGCTCACGCCCTGCACAAGGTAAACTCCCAGTTCCGCAGATTGGTAGCGGCGGCGGGGGAAAGGCTGCAACCAGCCCTTCCCAGCCCAAAACCTTGGCTTCCAGCCTCCCCAAACCCAACCGTTCAGCTGTTGGGTCAAGGGGCGCAGAACCCCCCAAAGTCAACCGTTCAGTAGTTCGACCACAAGGGGGAAATTTTTCCCAAGTCGACCCTTCAGAGGTCGCGTCGGAAAAGGGCAAAGTTGAGCTCTCAGCGGTTGCACCAGAGGTTGCAAACGGCAAAGTTGAGCACTCAGCGGTTGGTGTTCTGTGTGGCTTGAGTAACGATCAAAGTTCTAAAACCGCCCGGAGGTGCTGTCACTCCGTAGAACGAACTAAGTAAACCTCACCGAGGTCGCCACTCAACCTCCCGGAGGTCATGGCAGAGCGTCGGGCGCCATGCGCCCGCTCGCCAGGGCCCGGCCCGGGGAGTGGCAGTCGCTCTTCTTGCGACCTGCGTCAAAGGCTGCAGAACACGCTGCATATCGCCGGTTCACGGGCCCAAGGCGATGGTTCACGCCTCGGGTCCGGCGGCAGCTCACGCCCTGCACAAGGTAAACTCCCAGTTCCGCAGGATTCCGCATGGTACGGGACCCCTCGATCGTCTCGTCTCGCCCTCCCTCACCCTGGTGTGTTCATTGGGGGGGGTCATAACAAACACGGTACAGGATCGAGGCGCACGCTGCCAAAGCAGCCCCGCTCTTATTTTCAAAACAAAAACAACTCTCTCTCTATTTTGGTTTGCATGCACATGCACATGCACATGTCATGTTGTTGTATTGCCCGACGAGCGACGTGCGACGAGGCTTTGCCTTTGGGGTAGAGCCGTAGGCGCGAAGGGTGGCAAGTTGCCAGTTCGTGCAGCTGGTGCGGACTCCGTGCTGAGCTCGTGTCCCGTGTGTGCTTCTTTTTTGCTTGCTAATACTCGAACTTTTTTCTACTTATACCCATCTCACTAGTCATGGTTTTATTTCAGTGCGGTTCGCAACTCTGCGCTCCCCCGCGGGTTTCGGGGTGCACGCTCCGCTCGCCCCTCGCCCCCACCCCCACCCGCGACCACGCTCAGCGGCCGAACCCGAGGCGCGGCGGGGCGCGGGAGAGGGAAGGATCAGTACATTGCGGCGAGTTTGGACTCCTCGGAGGCGGCGGTGCGGAGGTGGCTGAGGTTATTACTGATTGAGTTTGCGACGTTGAGCAGGTCGGCGTGCATCTGCAGCGTCGTCTTGCCCAAGTCGTGCAGCATGTTCGCCTCAAGGGTGCCGCGGAAGCGCTGCCAGGTGCGCTCGTCGGTGCACTTGGTGCGCTGGACCGCGTACTCCTTCTCGTAGCCCAGCATCCGGTGCAGCGCCTACGGCGCACGCGTCGGGACGCGTCCCGGACGGCGTCGCCCCAGCCTCCCCTTGTTTACCGCCCCAGCCTCGCTGCAGCCGGCGGAGAGGCCGTGGATGTGCGCGTACACGCCGTCCTGCACTTCGCCCGACACCCCGACGTTGCCTCCGCTCGCCAGCGGGGGCGTGTAAGTGTTTAGCCAGCTCTCCAGCTTGACGCCTGCAGGCGAGGCGGCGCGGGCGCGGGATCGGATCGAGGAGGGTCGGCGCGGGCGGGGGAAGGTGCGGCGCGGCCCACCCATCCGGAAGACCGCCATTAGCTGCTTCTGCAGGTCGGCCACAAAGCCGTCGTCGAGCGCCTCCTGGTACGAAGCGAAGGCAGAGACGCGGGCGTCGAGCGCTGCTGCCGCAGTCGCGTGGGCGATGAGATCGCCGTCGAGGATTTCCTGAGGAACGGTGGGCAGCGAGGCACGCTCGCCCGGGGTGCGGAGGAGGGGCTCGGAGGTGCTGACGGCGGCACGCCTTTGCTTTGTTGCGCAGCTGCTCCTCCTCCGACCCCAGGAATTTGTTGAGTGACTCGATGTCAAAGGGCACGTCCTTGCCCTCGCGCCCGCGCTTGCGAGGGCGGCTCTCGCTCATCTGTGCTCTGAAGAGGGGAGTTGTTGTTAGGCGCTCCAGACTCGCGCCTGCTGAGACAGCCAAAAAATACCGTTAACCGAATGCACGCCCTGCGAGCGGGGCGGGGTGCGCACTGTCCCTCTGTGTTCGTGTGCGTCGCCCATCTCTCCCTGGCGCTGACTGCTCGATTTATTTATACTCCTCCCTGCATCGAATTTCCCTTGTAACGTGAGAGAGCCGGAGTCTCATGGCGGAGATGTGTTTTGAGAGAGAGAGATTTTTAGCAATACCAAACAACTCTAACACTCACACGTAATTTGGGGCCTGGAGCCCTGTTCACGCGCGCGCGAGACGTGCAGACAGGGTTGCCAGGTGAGAGCTCTTGAGCACTTGAGCACTGGATAGGGTCGGTTCCGCATGGTACGGGACCCCTCGATCGTCTGGCGACGCCGACAACATCAACAAGTAGGCGCGCAAGATGCGTACCAACCGGTCAAGTCCCCTGTGAGCGTGCCGATTGGGTCAACGACGTCAAGAACAAGCAAGAGGCAAACTGCCTCTTGTCCTCGGCCCCAAAAGTGCCCTTTTTTTTCTTTTTTGGACGGCAGGGCCAACGAGCGCTATGCGGAGAACGCCGACGCTCAAACGCCACCCTTGATGGCCACCCCATCTGAGCCGCTCCGAGTCGTCGAGTTCTTCGCCGGCATCGGCGGGCTGCACTACGCGCTGCAGCGCAGCGGCGTGCCTCACCGCGTCGTCCAGGCGTTTGATGTCGACGACTCGGCGGTGCGCCCGCACGGCAAGAGCGAGCGAGGCGGGTCCTCTGCGAGCGTCTCACGCCGCCGCCTCTGGCGTTCGCAGGTGCGCACCTACCGGCACAACCTGCCTCGCACGCCGGTGTCCACCAAGAACATCGTCTCGCTGCAGCAGGCCGACCTGCAGCGCCTCGCGGCAGACTGCTGGCTCCTCTCCCCGCCCTGCCAGCCGCACACGCGGCAAGGGCTACAGCTGGCCGAATCAGACGGCCGTGCTGCCGCGCTCGCCCGCCTCGTCGACCTGCTCGAGGCAGCGGACCCGCCTCTGCTCCCCTCCTCCCTCCTGCTCGAGAACGTGGTTGGCTTCGAGTCGTCATCCACCCGCACCCGCCTCCGCGCAGTCCTGCTCGGGCGAGGCTACTCGGTGCGAGAGCTGTGGGCCTCGCCCGCCCAGATCGGCGTCCCCAACCAGCGGACACGCTACTTCCTCCTCGCCTCGCGGAGAAGCGTCGCACCTCTGGCCGCCGCACCTGCGGCACCGCCCGCCGCCGCACCATCCGCCGCACCCGCTGCTCCACAACCTGCCGCCGCCGCCGCCGCGCCTCCTGCCGCACCTGCCGCCGCCGCACCCGCGGAGAGCGGCGGGCAGAGCGGCGGCGCGGCCGCAGCCCTCCAGCGGCCGCCGGCGGCGCCAGTCGCGAGCTTCGCTCTCCTGGACAGCTTCACTGTCCTGGCCGCCGCCGCGCTGGACGAGGCTTGCGCGGCGGGCGAGAAGTTGCCCGCGCCGCGCGGCGAGGTGGACGCGGCCACGCAGCAGGCCTGCGAGCCTAACCCGAACCCTAACCCTAACCCTAACCACGCAGCAGGCCTGCGACCTAACAACCTCCTAGCCCTAGCCCTCACCCTCACCCTCACCCTCACCCTCACCCTCACCCTCACCCTCACCCTCACCCTCACCCTCACCCTAACCCTAACCCTAACCCTAACCACGCAGCAGGCCTGCGAGCCGCTCTCCTCCTACCTCCTCCCGCACTGCGGCGGCGATGGCGGGGCGGAGGGCGGGGCGGAGGCCGAGGCGATGGCGGGTGCGGCGGTGGCGGAGCACGTGCTCGAGCGGTACGGCGCGGCGATGGACCTGGTGAGCCGCGGCTCGCGCCGCTCGTGCTGCTTCACCAAGAACTACTCGCGCTACGTCAAGGGGACGGGGTCGGTGCTGTGCGAGGGGGCGGGTGGGGGGGCGCCGCCTCCGCGCGAGGGCGAGAAGAGTCTCGAGACGCTGAGGCCGCTGAGGCCGCGCCTCCGCACAGCCCGAGGTGTCGCCTTGGTTGCGAGGGGCTCCTCACGCCTCTCGCTGCGAACAGGCCGCGCTTCTTCCTGCCGCGCGAAGTGGCGAACTTGCACGGCTTCCCGCCCCACTTCGGCTTCCCGCCAGAGGTGAGCACGCGCAAGCAGTACGAGCTGCTCGGCAACTCGCTCTCGGTGCAGGTGGTCGCAACGCTGCTGCGCTACCTGCTGCTGCCTGCCGGAGACGGGATGGCGGTGGAGGAGCAGAGGAGAAGGGGTTCGGAAGCGTGACTTCTTTTCCGTGGGTTTCTTCCTCGGTCCTCGCGCTGGGAATACCGACTTTTTTTTTGCGTGTAGCTCTTACGTACATTCCCGTAGGAGACTCTGCTGACAGGGTTTGCGATGAGGAGTTTTTTGCCGCGAGAGCGGCATCTTGCAATTTCTCTCGGACTCGGTTCAGAGTCGGCCGTTGCTTTTCTCAACCGAGTGTCGCTTAGGCGGCTCCGGCTCCGGTGGTGGTGTGCCGGTGTGCTAGTAAAACAAAGAAAGAAAGAAAGAAAACAGACACGCCACAAACGAGGGATGGGACGAGGACAGGGTCCCCACCTGCACGAGCAGGATTTTGGAAGAACGATCAGGGGGACAGGTGGGGCTCTCCTGCTCCTGACAAGGGACACGACAGGCTCGCAGCGCGGTGCGCGGTGGACTCCCACATCCACTGGCGGTCTCATCTCAGTCTAGCGACCTGCCTCCAGCTTGTCGCTGGCAGTCTCTCCTACCACAGGCACACTGACACAGGGGTGGCAGGGGCGGCGGCACGAGTCTCCCACATACATAAAACAATCCAATCTTCTTTTGTTGAAAATTCTTTTTTCACAACTCTTCTCTTGCTCTGCCGGCGGCGCGGCTAGGGCAGAGGTGATGGGCAAACACCGCGAGAAAAAGCCCGCCTTCGGCAAGAAGAGCAGGACGTCGCGCGTCCCGATGGTTGCGAGCCTGCTCGCCGCTGCCGCCCTTGTCGCTGCGCTGCAGTGGCTGCTCAGCTCTTCGGCCGCCACCGACGCCGGGTCGCAGCGCCGCCGCGCCTCCTCCTCCTCACCGGCGTCGCCGTCGTCGCCGCGGGAGAGGCGAGCGGCGTCGGAGGTGTCGGCGCAGCGGCGCGGCGCGGACGCCTACTCTGGCCACGAGTGGCGGAACCTCTCTCGCTCGCTGCCGCACTGCCTCTCTTCCCAGGCCGAGCTGATGAGCATCCCGGTGCCATGGCCCGGCTTCCACGCGCTGTGCATCGAGTCGTTCGGCGACGGAGAGGTCTCTGTCCTTCTCCACGCGCGCTCGGCCCGGCACGGCGACGCGGGCGGCGCGCCGTCAGAGACGTCCGCGGGCGAGAGACGCATATGCCGCGTCGTTGACGCGTCCGCGCCGTGTCGTCAGGCAAGCCGCCTCTCGCGGCGGGGCCGGAGGAGTCGAGGGTGCTGCGGGCGGGTGTGCAGGGCGGCGGCGGCGATCTGCTCGAGCTGCTGGTCGAGGCGCTGCAGGCGGAGCTCGCCGAGGGCGAGTTTCGTCAGGTCTTTGGCAGCTGCGAGTGGAGCGGGGCAGGCGGCCTGCCGCACGCGGTCGTGTCTTGGCGATAGGTGGACCAGATGGTGTCCACGTCGGCGTACGACTTCCACCCGAACCCGTGGCGCCTCTTCACCACCAACGGCGGGCCAGTCCTCTCCGGCGCCGATTTGGGCCAGCTCGGCCCCGGCGCGGCCCTGTGGCTGTACACCGGCGGCCAGCTGCTGCGGCTGGGTGAGCTCGGAGAGCTTCCGGCGAGGCTTCCGAGGAGGGCCCTGTAGGCGGCCAGTTCCTGTGGCCGGGCGTGCGGATCGGGCACAAGTTCAGGGTGCCGATCCCGAGGGTGGCGGAGGACGGAGAGCACTCGGAGACGAGGATGGTCGCGAGGACAGGACCTTCCGTGAAGTTTCCGAGAAGCTTCCTTGTAGGAGAGCACTCGGAGACGAAGATGGTCGAGATGACGACGGCGTCGCTGCGGCCGCCACCCTTAGATCCTCCATGGCCACTGGCCTAGACACGCCCCAGACCGCATCGCGTCGGCCGCCCCACTTCCTCGCGTCGCGTCGGCCGCCCACCTCCTCGCGTCGTGTCGGCCGCCCCACCTCCTCGCGTCGTGTCGGCCGCCCCACCTCCTCGCGTCGTGTCGGCCGCCCCACCTCCTCGCGTCGTGTCGGCCGCCCCACTTCCTCGCATCGCGTCGGCCGCCCCACCTCCTCGCGTCGTGTCGGCCGCCCCACCTCCTCGCCCTGCCCCGCCCTGCGGACCTCAGGCCGCTCGTCCTCGTCCTGTCTGGCTTCCTCTCCGATGGAGAGTGCGACTTCATCAAGTCGTACGCCGCGAGCCGGATGGTGCCGTCGGGGCTCGCAGTCATGGACGGCGCTAACCCTAACCCTAACCCTAACCCTAACCCTAACCCTAACCCTCGCAGTCATGGACGGCGCCACCGCGCCGACACCCCGTCGCTGCGCCGACCAGTCGCCGCTCTCACGCCGCCGCTGGCGCGCGCAGGCACGCGCGGCGACCAGTCCGACGTGCGCACCTCCACCCAGACCTTCATGCAGAGGGGAGGGTCGCCGCGCATCCGAGCGCTCGAGGAGCGGAGGCCGTCCTCCGCGGGGAGGCTCCGCCGCCCCTCGACGGCACGTGCGCGGCGTGTGCGCGCTGTAGGAGCGGGCGCACAACCTGACCCGCCTCCCGTACGACAATGGCGAAAACATCCAGGCGCGGGCCTGGCCCCGCACGCATCACCCTTCCTCTCTCCGCCACCCCTCCGCCGCCTCACCGCCGCCTCACCGCCACCCCTCCGCCGCCTCACCGCCGCCTCACCGCCGCCCCTCCGCCACCTCACCGCCGCCTCACCGCCGCCTCACCGCCGCCTCACCGCCGCCTCACCGCCGCCCCTCCGCCACCGCCACCCCTCCGCCACCCCTCCGCCACCGCCGCACCTCTTGCCAGGTGGTGCGGTACGAGAAGGGGCAAAAGTACGGCGCGCACCGCGACTTTTTCAACCCAAACGACTACCACCGGCATTTCCGTGCTGCTGCTCCGGTGGGCGCCTGAACCACCTCCGACCCTTCCCCTCCTCCGTCCCATAGGCAGCCGTCCATGCTCCGCTCGGTGGAGTACGGCGCTCGCAACCGGCTCGCCACCGTCTTTTGGCGCCTCCGGCCGGGCGCCGGGAGCCGTGGAGAAGCGCCGCCTCTCTTCACCGCCTCTCGTGTCGTGTGCGCAGGTACTTGCAGTCGGTGGACGAGGGGGGGGAGACATTCTTCCCGCGCGCGCTCAACGAGGAGGGCAGGGAGTACAACCCGTGGAACGGAGACCACGAGGCGCCGCGCAACTTAGACCTCGCAAGCACGCGCACACTTCGCACGCACTACGCACGCACTTCGCACGCACTTCGCGCGCCCATCACCTGCCCATCGCCTGCCCCTCTCCTCGCCTGCCCCTCTCCTCACCTGCCCCTCGCCTGCCCCTCTCCCCTCTTTGCCCCTCTCCTCTCTTGCCCCTCGCGCTGCACCTCGGCGCGTGATTCGCGTAGGACTGCTACCGCGGCCTGTCCGTCCCTCCCGTCCGGGGCAACGCGGTGCTCTTCTACTCGATGGCGACCGCCTGCCCGGCCCACTCTCGCCGCCTCCCCCGCCCCCCGAGACCTCGCGCCGCGAGACTAGGTGCCCGACGGGCGGCTCGACGAGCGGTCGCTGCACGGCGGTTGCAAGCCGCGCAGCGAGAAGGCCGAGAAGTGGGGCGCCAACCAGTGGATCTGGAACCACCCGCAGCGGTCAGGCTACTTCACAAAGACGCCGCCGCGGCGCGGGCTCAAGGCCCGGCGGCCGTCGGCCGCTGGCTGCGCCGACGAGGAGGAGCACTGCGAGGCTTGGGCGGCGGGCGGCGAGTGCGATAAGAACAGCGGCTTCATGGCGCGGTCGTGCCGCGCCTCGTGCGGCCTCTGCTGAGGCGGGGGCGTCGGCGGTTGAGTATGCGACGCAGCCGCTCGTGTGTGTGTGTGGTGGGGCGAGGTCGAGCGGGCAATCCCGTTGAAAGAGGCGGAGCTGTACAGTGATACACAAAGCTATCCTACGCACAGCGCGGCGCAGGCTCATGCAGCGCCAGCGCCGCATCCCCGCAAAACGCCAGCGGCCAGCGCTCGCCCCAGTGCCCCCCAGCGCCGGGGGCCCAGGCCGGACGCCCCGAGCGGAGCCGGAGGCCCGGCGGCGGCCGGCGCGCGCGCGAAGGCCGAGGCGCGGCGAGCCGTGTCGAGAGCCGGCACGCGGCAGCCGCGCCCCGGCGTACGGCTCTACGTTGTGCGGAGCCCGGCATCGGTACGGCGGGGGGGCTGACATCGACGAGCAACATCTCACGAGCAACGCGGAGAGAATAGACACCTCCACATCGTCTCTGTTCTCTCGACAAAATCGCACGTCCCTCGGCGACCCCAACCACTCAACGCCCCCACGCACATACGTATACGTGTGCATGAGCGTCGCAGGCAGGGAACTGTACTGTAGGCTACGTATCACTCGCTACGGCGAAAGCTAGGGGGGCATCGCAGGGGCGGCTTGCTTCAAGGCGTCGACGGTGTGGCCTCGCCTCAGGGCGATCCGGCCTTGCTCCGGCTGGGAGCGCCGCCGCCGTCGCCTCCGGCGCGAGCAGAGCACGCAAGCGACGAGGCCGAGGAGGGCCAAGGCGCTGCAAATAGTGACCGGGAGCCAGACGGACAGGGAGCGGGCTGCGGTCTTGCCCTGCACCGCGGTTGGCGGCGCGGAGGGCGGCCGCGTGGGCAGCGGCGGGGGCGTGGGCGGCGACGGCGTCACAGGCGGAGGAGGGAACTTGCCGACCCCGAGGGGCCACAGGGGCTCGGAGACGCCCTTGAAGGTGAAGTCGGTGCAGTCGAAGCCGGCGTGCGTGACAGCGCCGACGTTGGACACGCCGAGCCCATCGAGGGCGTTGAAGTTGAGGACGTCGCCCGTATACGAGAGCGGGAGCGAGAAGTGCGGGTACGTCACTAGCCGCAGCCCGTCCACCTCGATGGTCACGCGGCCGCGCGCTCGCACGTCGACGTGCGCGCGACCGCGCTGCTGCGCCTTGCAGCCGACGGCGGTGAAGACCGTCGTGAGACAGCAGTCGAAGGGGTCGAGGTTCGGGATGCCGAGCACGCACGGGCCCGTGTCCCCGTTCTCGTTGGTCGCCTCCGCCACGCCGGGCACCGCCGAGGCGGCGAGGAAGAAGGAGGAGGTGCCGGCGCCCTTGCCGCCGCCGACACCGCGGGCCGGCAGTGGGATGACCTCGTCCGCCAGCCGCGCCGCCAGCCGCTCGCTCGCGTTGCCGCGGTACCCGCGGCCGTCCGGGCCGCGGTGGCGCGGCGTGCCCGCCCAGATGCCAGCCCTGGAGGTCATGCGCGCGAAGGTGGCGGTCGGTGCGCACGAGATCTCGACGAGCTTCTGGTCGATGCCTGCAGTCAACGGGCGGCCGAGGTGTGACCGAGGTGGGACCGAGGTGTGTCCGAGGTGTGTCCGAGGTGAGTGGGCTTGTGGCGCACGCCTGCGAGGGCCTCGAGGTGGAAGCCTGCGCTGTACTCGATCGGCTCGGTGAAGCTCACCTCGTAGTCGATGTCGCGCAGGGCGATGGGGCGACTGAATGGGTTCTGCGCCGTGACGAGCGCGCCCTACGCGGTGGCGCTGGCAGGATTGAGCGATGGGTCGAGGGAGCGGCGGCCGGAGGCGGTCGCGGCCGCGCCTTTTGGCAGACGTCTTCGTCCTGGTTGTAGAGGTCGCACGTCTCGCCCGTCTGGACGTTGTAGCCGAGCACGAATGTCTCCCGCGTGCCGAGCGCGCCGGCAAGGATCGAGATGGGCGCGCCCTGCACGGTGACGAGGCCCTGCCAGATCCGGTCCAAGAACCACTTGTTGGTGGGGCCGAGCGCGATCACCGTCTGGTCCTGCCTCGACGCCCACCGGCCGGCGACGACGCCAGCCCCGGCTGCGCTGCTGTCGAGCAGGACCCTCGCGCTCAAGGCGGGGGTTCGCGGGCTGCCAATCGCCCCGCGCCGCACCTCGAACTCGTAAAAGAACGCCACGCCGATCTTTAGCGACAGCTCGCCGCCAGCGGGGCACTCGTCCTCCTTGCAGTCGCCGCGCTCGCGGCACTGCGGCCGGCAGAGCCACGAGCCGCGCACTCGCTGGCTCGCCGCCGAGTGGCCCGGGAGCGAGACGTCGTTGGCGTCCGGGTTGTACCACAGCTCCACCTCGAGCGTGCCGATGCGCAGAAACTCAAAGGGCGAGACGGAGAGGAAGGAGATCTCGGCGGACAGGTCGAGGGTCCCTTCGGTGGCGTTGGCGGACGTGACTTGAAGGGACCGCGCCTCGAAGTCCTCCAGCAGAGCGCCGAGGAACTCAAGCCGCTTCCACACGTCCACCCGGAAGGGGATCCCGTACACCACCACCGCGCTCTGCCCCTTCACGTCCCAGGCGATCCTCTTGCCGTGCAGCAGCTTTGAGCCCTCGGCAGCGAGTGCCTCCTCGTCCAGCACCACGAGCTGAGACTCGAGCTTGAGGACCGTCGGTCCGTGCGGCTTCAGCGTCACCGACGGGAACCTGAGCCAGCCGAACTCGCGCCCTCGGAGGTCGACCAGCGTGGCGTCAAATTGCTCCAGCGAGACTGAGAGCGGGCCTGCGTTGTTGAGCTCCAGCCCAACCTCGATGGAGAGCGTGGAGTGCGAGGGGTCGGCGAGGGTGCAGTTTAGCACCGTCAGCGTCGCAGCGTTGAAGAACATGCCGACCAGAGAGGGCACGACCAGCAGCAGCACGATCGGGGTGGCGACGACGACCGCGGCGACGACGACCGTCGCACAGCCGAGCGTCCCGCGGCCCGGAGTGCCACACCAGAACGCCCACGAGGAGGGCGACGCCGGCGGCGGCGGCGGAAGCGACGCCGGCGGAAGAGCCGCCTTCATCGTGAAGGGCTGCGATGCGCCGCCCAAGGAGGCGGAGCCGATTGCTGTGACGCATTCGGAAGAAATTCCGTTATCTCCTTTTTCTATCACTAGCAGGTTGGCTCGCTGGTCGCTCGCCGGGCCCGCGCAGCACGCGCGGGCCTTTTTTGTGGTTGATAAAGGTGGCACCTTCGACATTGCACTTGGAGCACTTGGAGTGCATGGCGTTTCATTTCTTTATTCGCTGTCCTCCTATTAGGATTCCTAAGCTTAAAGGCCCGCTAAACGCGCGAGGCGGTGGCGGCGGTGGTGCGGGGGATTGGCAGGGGAGGCGGCGGGATTGACAGGGGATGGGGCGGCCACGAGCGGAGCGGCGGCGAGAGGGGGGGCGGCGGCGAGGGCGCGAGGCGCCAACGAGCGAGGAGCCCGCGCCATCAGAGGGACGCGCCGCTGCGAGATGGAGGGCGGCGGTGACGGAGGCAAGGCGCGAGGCGGCGGCGGCGGCGGCGGCGGCGGCGGCGGCGGCGGCGGCGGCGGCGGCGGCGAGAACGGCGGCACCGAGTTGTCTCGGTGAGCGGAGCGGCGGCAGGAGGAGGAGCAGCTCGCTGTTGAGCGCTTTTGAGCCTGGGATCCCATGCCACTGCGACCGGCGTGTCCGGGAACAGAGATCGCGCGCGCGCCGCCACTCACGACGCGCGCGCGATCTTCGCGGAGTCGGGTCCCCAGAGGGAAGCGGTCTTCTCGGCCGACGTCCAGCTGTGCGCAAGGACAGGCGCAGCGGTGCACCGCGGCGCGTTGATTCGCGACCACCGTCGGCCGTGGACGGCGGCGGTGTGGCGGCCGCGGGCGCTCGTGAGACGCGCCGCTCTGCGCTGGTTCGGTTCGTTCGACTTGTTGTGCCGCCACACGCCCGGCGGCCGCGGGTCCCAGAAGTGGTTGCGCGGGCCTCTTCCTTGCGGCCGCGGGACGGCGTCGGGCACGTCGTCGGTCGCAACAGATGCGCGGCGAGCCGCGGCACGTCGTTGCTGGCGCAGGTGGTTTGAGGTCGGCATCGTCCAGAGCAAGGTGGACGAGTCGAGAGCTTCAGCTGGCCGAGGGTGCCACCTTTGTGCTCTTTGTGCACGAAATGGGAAATATATCTCTTTGATGGTAGCTCACACTTCGTTTGCACCGCCGCTAAAGGCCATCCCTCGGTTTACTTTTTCTATTTTTCTATATATTGATCTCCAATCCATCCTCTCTCTCTCTCTCTCTCTCTCTCTCTCTCTCTCTCTCTCTCTCTCTCTCTCTCTCTCTCTCTCTCTCTCTCTCTCTCTCTCTCTCTCTCCAA